TCCTTCGGCGTTTTTTGCTATCTGATTCGTCGGTGTCTGGATCGCGATCTCGCTTCTTCTGTGAGCGCTCTGGAGTGCCCTGAGGGGAGGATGAAGGCTATAGTGAATATGTGATGAGTATGGTTCTGAAAGCAATAGGATTAAGGAGGATATACCATCTTATATATGATCGCTAGGTGTGCAGCTTGAAAGCTTGAACTTGAAACGAAACTTGAAACTTCAAGTTGAAGCCTAAACTTGAAACGTGAGCTGAATGCGCTTTCAAGAGGTATCTTGAAAGCTTAGATAGCAGGGAGGGGCTTGAAGTGATAGGTAGCGCTGGAAGATGGTTAGGAAGCTCTCACGATCTGGAAGGAGGAGAAGGGTGCTCTTATACCGAATACAATCAGCTATTCCAGGGCTCATCATGCTTCCGAGAGCACCCCCGTGTGCTATACGAGCATCCTCGGGTGCTGTACGAGCATCCTCGGGTGCTGTACGAGCACCCCCGGGCGCTCCCACCAGTGCTGCATATGGTGCTCCAAGCCGTGCTGAATGTTTGCTCCAATACATGACGTAGATCAATGCTCTAGGCGCACTCGAAGATTCTACTCTGGAGGTTTGATTCAATTGAATGACGTAGATGAATGCTCTAGGCGTACTCGGGAATGCTCTGACGGTAGTACCAACAGTGGTGTCGATTGGATTCCTATGTTGGGTTGGTGTTTGTGTTCTTGTTGGTGTCGGGGCTCTGTGCGCTATGAAGCTGAGTCGGAGAGTGTGTATCCTCTGAGCGCATATCCGATATTAGTATCGAATTTGGCGGTGAGAATGGTCTCTCCATGATCTGAATAGCATCCGCGAGTGCTCAGAGAGAGAGAGCGAATGCTGAGAGGGTAGAACGGAGCATCGTTGGCGGCATGATTGTGGTGATTGTTGTTTCTTCTCGTTGTATGCTTGTGTTTGTGTTTGCATTATTCCGTTGGAGATGTATGACGTCAAAATCAGCCTCGCTATGGTGGAGGTGCGAGCGCAAGGCTCACAATCACTTGGCGAGCGCTCTGCAGCGAGCACTCTGTAGAGCACTCTGCACAACCGCTTGGCGGCGAGAGCCTCATTGGATGACAAATCGTTCGTAGAGCACTCTGCACCGCCTGCAGGAAAGAGCCTCCGCCTTGGCAGACTGCAAATTCTCGAGTCCAATGAAATCGTCTTGCCCTTTTTGCAGCAAGAGGTACAGCTCCTCCGCGAATTTTGACAGACATCTTCGAACGATCCATCCTTTGGAAGCAGATGAATGGCTGGGAAATCAATATTCACTGCTGGAGCACGATCAACCTGCAGAGACCCCCGACAACACTGACGAGAGCCCAGAGAGCATTCCCGATTACTATTCAGACACGCATTACGATTCAGAGTCGGACATTTTCGACCAAGATTCGGGTAACAATTCGGACCTCGAATCCGAATCATATTTCGTGATGGAAGAGGCAGATGGCGATTCAAATGGGCATAGTAGGGCATCTACGACAGTTTACGAGGGTGCTGGGGAGCCACTTTACCGCTCGGAGGACTACGACGAGTGCTCACAGAGCCTTCTCCAATACCCATGGCACCCATTCCGGTCAGCATACGAGTTCAGAATAGCACGCTATTTCACACTGTCCAAAGCCTCACAGGGGAACATCGACAGCTTCTTTCTACACGCTCCGCCGAGTAGTGGCGAGTGCTCCTACAGCACTGGGCGGGGTTTTATCAAGAGGTTGGAGGAAATGAACGATATACTGGGAAAGGCGAGCTGGAATCATTCGGAGGTGGATATTGGGGGGGAGAAGATCTCTTACTACTACCGGGATCCAATGGTAGTCGTCCGATATCTTCTAGGGCAACGTGCCTTCCGGGAGTCATTGGTGTATTCGCCCGTGGTGGAGCATAATGAATTCGGCGAGCGAATGTACGGGGAAATGCATACAGGAGATTGGTGGTGGGAGATACAGGTCCGTAAACTTCACCCTGTCAACTTGAGGTGCTCTATGAGCAGTCGATGATGCTACAGGAGCAGTCGCTAATGTCTTCTCGACAGAATACGTTACCGGAGGGGTCCACTGTCGTACCAATTATCTGCGCGTCGGATGGCACACATCTGACAAATTTCAGCGGGGACAAGAAAGCCTGGCCAATCTATCTTACCATCGGGAACATCAAGTCGTCGGTGCGCAACAAGCCCACAGGGCATTCATTCATTCTCCTAGGGCTGCTACCAGTGCCACCGAAGCTCGGAAAGAATACAACACTCGCTAATTCCGTTTTAAGACGTCAGAGTCAAATGGCACTGCATCGTGCCCTTGGGGAGATCTTTCAAAGCATTCGCGAGTGCTCTCAGGAGGGCGAGCTAATCAAATGCGCCGACGGCTACGAACGACTATGCTTTCCGGTGCTCTCGGGCTGGATCGCCGATCAACCCGAGCATTCAAACTTGCAAAACATTAGCACTAGTGCTTGCCCGAGATGCGAGGTGGAGTTTCACAATCTTGGGAGCACTCGTCGAAGCTCTATGCGCAATCACGAGGACTACAGGGAGAGGGTACAGCTATTTGGCGAGAACCCGGGCAATCTAGAACCGGTAGAATACCTTGTTGGGAGATCCGTCAAAACACTCTTCAATGCTTTCTGGGGTATGCCGAGGGTTAATCCGTACGATCTCAATAAACCGGACATACTGCACAATATTTACCTGGGGATGTTGAAGCACATGATGGAGTGGATTCAGGGTTTCTTGAAGAAGCATCATCGATTGGAGGAATTCGACAAAGCTTGGGCTTCGATTGCGCCTTACCCTGGACTAGCAGTACCAAACAAGGCATATCGTTCTACCACCCAATGGCAAGGGAAAGAGATGCGGAATCTGGGGCGGGTCGTTCTAGGAGCACTCGCGGCTGCTCTGAGAAACCCGGGAGTGGCTGTCAGGAGCGACTTCGCAAAAGCTTTGAAATGCGTTCGAAGCCTAATAGACTTCCACTTAATGGCGCAATATGGGAGTCATACAACGAGCACACTGGACTATATGGAGAGCTATCTCGAGGATTTCCATAAACACAAGGATATCTTTTTAGAATTCAGGGCGTACAAGAAGACGTTAAAGGATGCGAGAGATCGAACGAAAGCAATTAGTGGCTCCCAGAGCACCCAGCGAGGCTTGGAGGAGATCCGGGAGATTCGGGAAAGATTGCACTTCAACTTCATCAAATTGCACGTCTTAATGCACTACCGGGAGCACGTTGAGCGCTTTGGTAGCATTCCTCAATACTCCACGGACGTCAGCGAGCTTGCCCATGTACGGCAGGTAAAAGAAGCTTACAGAGCGTCCAACAAGGTTGATGCTGCGATGCAGATACTGGACTATGGAGGGAGGCGATTGGCGTTAGAGATTCGAATTCTGAATCTGAAAGACATCGTCGGAGGTTCTGAGAGCACTGACGACATCCTCTGGAGCCATCGGGATAACCTCAAGGAGTTGCTCGACATTTTCAAGATCGAGGACCGCAAGAAAACGCCAAATGAACGCTCAATAGTAGAAAGCGGACTGCCCCTGAAGCGTCTTTGCAACCCCTCCGCGAAATCGGAAAGACTTTTCAACGTGGCAGACGGACTGCAAATGAGCCATCTCACGCTATATCGCCTGATAAAGGAGTATGCCGAGGATGCGGGATGCTCTCAGAGCTTTGCCGGAAGCTCTGAGAGCATGTTGGAGCGCCGGGTTGAGGTTTTCACATGCTTGCAGGTTCCGATACCAATCTTCCAAAGGCCTGACGTATACGAGGTTCACAACATCAGGTGTACGGGAACAGCATCTTTTAGGAAGGGGAAAATAAGAAAGGATTGGGCATGGGTATCGGTAGGTTCCTCAGAGCAGTGGGGAGTGTTTCGGGGACGCTTACCAGGACGTGTGGAGGCTCTGTTCAAGGTGCGGGATAGCACAGGGCGCGCACATAGACTATGTGTAGTTGAGCTGCTTGAGGCGAAGGATCGTGGTATCGCTGATAGCTCACATGGGCTGCTGAAGGTCTGTAGGAGGAGGAGGAAGAGGATGTGGGTCGTGAATATTCGGAGTATATTAGGAATGGCCCATTTGTTCGAGGTGGATGCTGGCAATTGGCTGGTAAATACTAGGATAGATTTGCGTACGTGGAATGAATTCAGTTGAATGCTGTAAAGCATTCCCGAGTGCTATGCAGTGATGTGAGAGGATCACCGAGTGCTATACAGTGATGTGAGAGGCTTACCGGGTGCTATCCAGTGAGAGCATTACCGAGTGCTATCCAGTGATGTGAGAGGATTACCGAGTGCTATCTAGTGATGTGAGAGGATTACCGAGTGCTATCCAGTGATATGAGAGGAATACCGAGTGCTATCCAGTGATATGAGAGGAATACCGGGTGCTATTCAGTGAATGCTCTGAGGGCAGTGGCGAGTGCTCTACGAGTGGAATGTTAGACCCAATAGGACCGTCTAATTCAAAATTCGTGTCGTTCTGCTAGTACGCATGCGGATTGGAAGAGGGAGGTGAGTATCGGCCGCTCAGTATCTGAGTCTGACTATCCAGCAAGCCAGCTCCAGGAGGGCGCGGTAGGCAGGCATTAGTCTTCTGACCAGTAAAGTCATCCTGCACCTTTTTCCAGTCCATGTTTGCTGCTTATGCATGGACATTGAGCTTTTCAGACGAGCCATACCATGGCCTCAACCTCAAGGCTTATGCCTTTCACGAATCGACAGATACATACACGTTCGTCAAAGGTTTGGTAGCCATCTCCAGTATACACGACAGTGCTCGTATCAGTATTCCGCGACTGACCGTTCAGCGGCGTGAAGAATACCCACGTGAGATATCGTTTGAGGGACCGGCGATGCCTACCTTGCCTTTGAAGAAAGCGTATCGATTCATATGGGTCTAAGTGGGGGGTGTCCCACCTTGAATAGTATTATTAAAGATGTTTCCGCAGCTCTACGAGCATTGGTCAGTGCTATGGAAGCATTCGTGGTGCTCTCCGGACGTGAGCAATATCTCTTGGCAGTGCCTGGAAAAACTCATTGACGAAGAGTGTCTTGGCGTGGGCGATATGCTCTGGCGGTGCCTGGCGAGCAGCTCGTTGAGAATGCTCTCCTGGCGCAGATAGTACTGACGAGTGCTCTCTAGGCGTGAGCGATATGCTCTGGCAGCGCCTGGCGAGCAGCTCGTTGTAATTTGATCTCCTGGCGCAGATATTACTGACGAGTGCTGTCAGGGCGCTGACGCTGTCTCCTGGCGGGCCCCGACACGTCCGTGATTCGTTGCCAGTCCCTGGGCGGAAACTCATTAGTTGATCGTTCTTCAGACGCAGGAGGCATACCCAGGCATGTCATGGCGGAGAGAGCATCGCCGGGTGCTCTCAGGACGAGCACCATATCGCCTGGAGGTGCATGACGCGTGAAAGTGCACGACGCGCCTAGAGAAGATTGCGGAGAGAGCATTGCTGGGTGCTCTATGGATGTAGGTGATATCGCTCAGAGTACTCTGTAGACAGTAGCATTAGCGAGTGCAAAGAAGCTCATTAGGGAGTACGAATATGCTGCTCTGACAGCGGACTGCTTGGAGCGAGTGCTCTGCTTGGATCGAGTGCTCTGCTGGAGCGAGTGCTCGAGTTGCAGTCGTGAAAAGCTCTCTTCTCTGACGTGGTCAGATGATTGGCACTGCGCTCTGGCGGAGTCTATAGACGATTATGCGCCCTGGTGCTGCCAGACAGAGAACATACTGCTCTGGGGGCGTCGGGCGCGGATGCTAGGATCGCCTGGCGCGAGCACCCTGCTGTGGCGACGCCTGGCGCGAGCACCCTGCTGTGGCGACGCCTGGCGCGAGCACCCTGCTGTGGCGACGCCTGGCACGAGCACTCTGCCCTGGCGGCGCCTGGCGTGCCTGGCACCCAGGGCGTAGGCGCTGCGCCCTGAGGAATAGCAGAGTTTGCTGATGATCTGTCGTTAATCTCATGCCCGAGAGCATCGCGGACGAAATGAGACTTCGGAAAGAGCGAGGGCCGGGCTTCAACATCAAGACCGCGGATGGAGGATTGGCACCAATTACCTCCATGGTCTCATTCGATCTTAATGTAGCGGGGGTCACAGCTCACATCACCTGCCACCTCATACCAGGGCCGAGAAAGCCATCATACTCGATCCTTCTCAGCAGAAGGTGGCTTCGACAGTGCCAAGCACGGGGCGACTATCGCTCAGATACGTACATCATCAGGGATAGGGAAGGGAACGAATTCCTGGTACCCGCAGTCAGGGGAGGGCATGAGAGATCCCCGAGAATCTTCATCAGCGCGGAGACTGCCAAGATCGAGATCGACGACGACATGGCAGAAGAGCTCGAAGAAGGGGACGACACAATGTCGGCTATTGTCGAGAGAATCTCGAGAGAAAGTGATGAGCAAGAGAGGTTGGAATTGGAGTTGGAAAGGAGGGAATTTGAGTTGGAAGAGAGGGCGCAGGGAAATGACGAGGAAGAGCTGCAGGCGGCCAAAGAAAGGAATGAAGGGTTCCGGGACTGCCAGAGAAGCTCATATCACGTGGGTGAAGCTTTAAAAGGGTTTCACTGCTAGATGCCCGGGTGCCTAGCAGTGACATAGAGTACGAACCCGGGGGAGAAGTGGGGGAGTGTTGGGGCGGAGGCGGTTGCGGGGAAGGATGTGAAGTGATGTGGGCTGAGCGAGATGAAAGAGAAGTTCTGGGTGAGATGGAGTTACCCCAGATCCATGACCGCCGCAAAATAAAAAATCACGACGGCGACATATATGATTTAATCAATGAGGACGATCGTGTGTATGGCATAAACACGATAGGGTACCCGACCGCGGAGAGACCTGTGAATTTCCACAGAGAGGTGGATTCACAGACGTCTGACGCGGAGATAGAAGAGTGGTTCAAAGAATGTCGCACCACGGTAGGCGAAGCTGCGGCTACTGAGAGCGAAAGGATGAACGCGAAGAGGTTAATCTACACCTGGCGCGATATCTTCGAGGATGACTTGGGAAGTATACCAGAGTGCCGGATTGCTCTACACTATATCCCGACATACCCTGGTTCAATACCACACAAGGCGACGAATCCGCTATACACGGCAGAAGAAATGGCCTGGATGCGAGAGAACCTGCCTAAGATGTGCGATTCAGGCATATTGACGGTATCAAATTCGCAATGGTCGAGCAAGCCTAAATTCGTACGCCGGAAGAATGGGACCCTGAGAATGGTGCATGTCTTCTGTAGGCTGAATAAGGCGACCATCAAGCTCAATACGCCAATGAAGAGAATCGAACCGATACTGCACAATCTGATGCAAAGTCGGTTCAAATGCTACTGGCAGGCCGACGCGTCAGTAGGATATTGGGGAGTCCCTCTCGCAAGAGAGCACGCCTACAAGACCGCCTTCAACACCCCGCTAGGTCAATTCTGCTACCTTCGCATGGGTATGGGCCTGTCTGGTGCAGCGCACACCTACGCGAGGATGAAAGACATCTTGACGGGACCGATTCCCTCTCCGCATGCTGAGGCGGGGATTTCGGGGTCATAGGAGGACTCCGCGTTTGAGTACTTCATGGATGACGATTATGGTACCCATACGTCATTCGATAGCCAGTATCGGTTCCTGCACGAGAAATACTTCCCTCGTATTGCGTGGTCGGGCTTAAAGCTAAACCCGGCGAAGAGTCATTTTTGGTCGAAGGACCTAAAACTTTTAGGCTTCGCGGGCAGCGGACAGGGTGGACTCCGCCCATCAATCGACAAAATTGCGGCAATAAGGGATTATCCAGTCCCAAGTGATGTGGCTGGGCTGGAGCGATTCCTGCATATTAGCACGTATTTGAGGCAGTGGGTCCCGGGAAGATCCGATCACGCGAAGATCTTGAAAACGGCGATCCTCTGCAAAATCAACAGCATGGGAGCACGCAGGGACCTGGTTCTGCACTGGAAGGCAGAACACGACAGCTCATTCAAGTACATCAAAGATTGCATCGCAAACAACGTGATCTGGGGAGGAGACCCTACCATGCAGTATCACCTATCTACAGACGCTTCAAATCTCGGATTAGGCGCGGTGCTGTTTCAGCTTGACGGCTTACCGCTGAGCACCGTCGCGGGTCCCAAATTTAGAGAAAACGAAAGGATCATTCTCTTCATATCAAAGGCTTTCGCGCCTGCAGAAACACGCTACCACACCACGGAACGCGAAGCGCTCGCGGTAGTGAGGGCGCTTAGTGAAGTGCGCTGGCTTGTGCTAGGATCACCGCACCCAATAAAGGTGTATACCGATCATCAAGCGCTGCTCTCGGTCCTAAAAGGGGACGAAGCAAAAGGACGCATCGCTAGATGGCAAATGCAGCTAGCAGAATATGACATGGAGATTCATCACGTGCCAGGGTCACAAAACGTGATAGCAGATGGAATGTCGAGGCTTAGCACAAGGTGGGAGGGTGAATGCAAAGAGATGGAGGTATCGGCGGTGGAAATAGAAGGGTGGAAAGACTTGGTGGAGGACGAGTGGTATGGCGTGATGGTGGAGTACAAGCTGACAGGGATGTTGCCGGCGAGCAAGATTGCGGGTAAGGCGGGCAAGGAAGATTTATCGGAAACGGATAAAGCGAGATGGCTGCGGAGACTGAAACACCAATCGGCGCGCTTCGTAATCGTCGATCCCGAGACGTCGGGCCGACCGCACGGACTCCTATATCGGGAGAAGAACGGGGAAACGGCGATCTGCATCAAAAAAAGGAATATCAAAGAGATCCTAAGTTGGGCACACGACGTACATAGACACTTTGCGGAATCAATCACGTTAAAAAAGCTGATCGGCAAGTACTATTGGTCGACGCGCCATCGCGACACTTCATACTCTTGTCGATCCTGCGACTCCTGTCAGCGAGTAGGCCCCCTAAGACCCTCACAGGCGCTATTACCCATATTCCAGCTGCAACCAATGGACTTATGGGGCATGGACTTCATCGGACCAATAGCCCCCATATCGAGGTCGGGCAATAGATACATACTGATCGTCGTCGATTACTTCACCCGCTACCTCTTCACAAGCACGGTAGCAAGGGCGGACAGCGCGGCGGTAGTGGCGCTGATCTCGGAGATCGGGAAATACATTGGGTGGCCGCGTGCGATATACAACGATAACGGCTCGCACTTTGTAAACGCGAGCGTCAAGCAGCTGCTCGAAAGAAGAGGGGTAAAACAATTTCCGGCACCCAAGTCGCACCCCCAATCGGTCGGCCTCGCTGAGCGCTATGTACAGTTAGTAGTAGTAGGCCTGCGCACTCTGATGGCAACCTCATTACCCAATCGGTACATATGGGACGAGATGCTACCCGGGGTCACACACGCAATAAATACACGCGTTATACGAGCGCATGGGTATACGCCTAGTCAGCTACTGTTTGAGTTCAACCTTAGAAGAACCTGGCTAGACGCCACTCCGAGGGACCAATTAGCCTCCGCAGTTATATCAGATGCAATCGTTGAGATAGTCGGAAGGCACGAAGTGAATAGGGAGATGATGGGCGACAACCTGGGCGAAGCTGCAGATGCTGCCGAACTGACGGAGCTGTGGACCTATCACCAGAGGTTGTCGAAGGTTGAGGAGATACGCGAAGCCGTTAGAACGAAGGCCTTGGAAAGGTGCTCGCAACTGCAGAAAAGGGAGGTGGAAGTCGCCTCAAGAAGGAGATCTCGTCTTACTCCGCAGGTTCGAAATCGACAGACAGCATGGCCGGAAGTTTGAAGCCAAATGGGAAGGCCCGTACAAGCTTGATAAAATAGCCTGGCATGGGAGGACCGGAAGAGTATTCGACTTGATCACTGGGGAAGAGGCAAGAGTCAAAAAGACTGGACTTCATGAGAGGGTGCACCTCGACGACCTAAAGGTATTCGTTCCTCGAGAAGATCATTGGCTGGGGTTCGAGGAAGATAGACAAGAGCGAGGAAACTTGAGGTTCGTAGGACTGTGCGAGGTATTGGGGAAGGACGAAGAGGAAGGAGTTAGAGAATGGGGAGATAGGACAGTGATATTCCCGGGCGGAATGAATAGGGTGGCGGAGGAGGAGTAGAGTGCCGAGAAACCTTTAGATCATGCGCCGAGAAACGTTTCGTTTCGTTTCGGGCGCTGCGGGCTTCACGGTATCATTCATTTCTTATCCGCGTTGGGGAGGGTTGCTACTCTAGGATCACTCAGGGGGTGGCTGAAAACCCAAAAGAGGGTGTTTTTTTTCCTTGGTCTTTTTTTGTTTTAGGTTGAGAAGGCTGAAGTCTATTATTTTTTTTTATGGAGGTTGCTGTTTCCTTACATCCCCGTTTTTTTTTCTCTGCTATTTTTTGCTGTAACTATTGCTAGTATCGGGGATAAACGATGGTGTAGTGAGACAGAAGGGTAGAGGAGGCGGGAGAAGAGAGAGGGGTTTTCGTTGTTGGACAGATTTACGGTCAAGCGTTAGTCAGACAGTAGACGCGTGGAATTGCCGAGACAGGCGCAGCAAAAAGGAAACGTAGCGATAGCGCCAGCAACAGTTCGTTTAGGTGTCCAGATCATGGAGTACCTCTAGCTAGTTTTTCTTTTGTATCATCATCATCATCATTGAATATACATCATTGCTCTCGTTTTGTCTTGATCGAAGTTTTATTCATTCTCGTATCTTTCGAATCGTCGTCGAAGAAGAGTGAATACAACAACCGGCCAACAACGTTAAGCCTTTTGTCTCTACTTAATCTCATCCCGCGGTTCCTAGATGCAGAGTCAGCGGATCAAGTATGCACTTACGGCCAGCGGCGCCAACAACTGAGCCGGGCAACCGGGCGTTTGTGGACATCTGTATCAATTGATGCCAAGGTTTGGTTTGTGATTTGACAAATGTAATTGTAATTGTTGTGCCGGATTGCATAAAATACCATGCATGAATCTCGGCAATTCTTGGCAATTCTTGGCAACTTGAATCGCAATTCTTGGCAGTTTCAATTTGATAACAGCCCGCATTGTGTGGTATGATAGTCTGTAGTAGTAACATGAGTCGGAGTCGAATCCAAGGCCTAGAAATTTTAATAGGGATAGTGTAGCATACCTGTGAAGTATATATAGAAGAAGATAGCCGCTAGGTATGCCTGTTGCCGTGTAGTTGAGCGGCGATTTGATACTTGGTATAATGGTGATGGTTACTATTCATTGAGGTTTACTCCCCGGTAGCATCTTTCGGAGTCGAGTCTAAGCCCTGGAAATTATAATATAGATAGCATACTATGCGTTGACTATATACATTGAATAATTTACCAGCTAGGTATTCTTGTTGCCGCGTAGTTAAGCGGGAAGCGGTACCTGTTACTATGGTGGTGGTTACCATACAGCAGGTTCGACACCATCTTTCGGAGTCGAATCTAAACCCTGAGATTTATAATATAGATAGCATACTATGCATTGACTATAAATATTGAATAAAATACAAGCTAGGTACTCGTTTGGCTGAGTGGGTATGCGGGGTGGCGGTACCTGTTACAATGGTCACGGTGGTGGTCACTATACAGCAGGTTCAACATCATCTTTCGGAGTCGAATTCAAACCCTGAGATTTATAATATAGATAGAATATTATGTGTTAAATGTACATATGAAATAAAATACCCGCTAGATATTTTTCTGGGCCTTGTATTGCGGCGAGATAACACTAGTTATAATGATAGTGCAAATAATTCTCAATCATTCATACAAATACTCTAACCGGATATTGTTTCCAATACCAAAATATATTGCTCCGCCTTTTCCAATGTTTTATTCATTTCATCAGCTACGTTGAAAGCTATCAGGCTTGACCTTGCCTATGATTTCTGACACTCTCCTGCTTCAATTATATCTTCAGATAATCTATTACGGCAGTCGGTAATTTGATGCTTTGCACTGTTTTAAGTGTTAGATATCTATATTGTTTGAGGGAATATATCTAACTTACCTGCTAAAAACTCTCTCACACTCCGCTGCCATTGCTGGTACAGAAAAAGTATCCAGAGCAAAAATAGATAGCTTGGGATATGTTGGCTTTTTGCTAATCCACCACTGAATAGGATTCTCTAATTCATCCTCATTATGCTCACACCATCGCAAATAATGGTCCATTTCATCCATGTCTATTCTTGGAGAAACCTTTGGCTTTTTGAAGCTGCGTACTGATTTTGGTGGGCCCATGGCTGCCGGGTTTTGATTTCTTCTTGGTGAATCTGGAGTAGAAATCGCTTGTTGGTGCAATGATAATGACTTGTAATTGGTAATCCAGAGCTGACGAACAAGATGCTTTGCATGAGATACCCAATCTGGACGCCCACCCCAACTGGATTCACTGGCAAAGAAGTTGTCCATGTTTGGATTCAAAATGATAGCGGCACAAAGAATAGGTGACAGTCTCTCAAGGGAATAATACTTATTGAACTTTTCGATGGCTAGATCCAGTGATCTCTGTAGAGGGGAATGTTGAAGGGCAAGGTTGGATTTTGTTTGTGCAAGATGATTTGTTAATGCCTGGAGTGATGGGTAAACTTCATAAAGCGAACCCTGAGCTTTATTTCCCTCCAGAGCAAGAGTGTCTTCCCTGAATGGCTCCAAAATTCGGGAAATTGTTTGCAGTACTGACCAGTCATCTGAAGTTAGGCGGTCATTGGAGATTGTTATTTTGGGATCTTCCATGATAAGCATTTGAAAGTGCAAATCAATTGCTTGCCGGAATTCAAGAGCTTGAGAAAGTGCGTCATAATCACCCGTCCATCTTGTAACATTGCCCAATATCAATTGCCTGGCCTGTTTCTCAGAACCAGCCATCATTTTCTCCAACAATTCCGCAAAAGCGACCCGTCTCTGTGGGGATCTCTGAATCCAAACAGTAATATTCCTTAATTTCCCTAAAGGTCCAACCTTCCTCCACTCTTCCACTTCACGGTTCTCTTGCTCAATACTGTCTTTTTCCACTCTATTGCTTGGCCAGCCTGGAGGATTTTTTGCCATAGAGAAACACCTTGACCACTAGGTTCAAAATATGACCATAGCATCTGTTGAACCGGCTTTGAGTATTGAAGATAGGGTTATTGAGTTGGATCTCATAACTGGAATTGATTTGCGCTCCAATATAGTCCAATGCAGTAACATTATTACTAGCATTATCTAGAGTAAAAAATCCGAGTATTTTTTCAATTTTGTACTCGGTAATAACTCCCCATACTAGAAACCCCTGGTTATCACCAGTATGTGCTCCCACCATTTTCCTTAGAGCTAGTAGCCCATGGCGTAGAGTAGCATTTTGATCCAGCCAAAATCCGACAACAGCAATCATGGACATATTGTTTGGGGAGGTCCAAAGATCAAAGCTCAAATGTATTGAGGAAACCGCTTCACTCAATTTTAGCTTAACAGCTTCTTTATTTGCTTGAAATGAATCAAAGATCCAACGAGATATGGTGGATCCGGATTTGGGGAGAGCTCTGCCGATTTCTGTAAATGTGGCTTTCTAATATCACCTATTAGGACCTGGTATGTTAAATATGTGACATCAGTGGTAACCACTTACAACTGAACAGCAATATGCAAATATTGCTCTCAACATCACAGAAGTTGCCTGTGCAAATAGTATATTAAACGTTATAACATATCTTAGTAGCAGCTTCTTGAAAACCTCAGAATTAAATACCAAATTTGGTATAGAATTTCGGAGATTTTGTGCTATATGATTCCCAGACTCTGATGATTGATCTGGGATTCTGCTGCCATTTCGAAAGAACCCATGCTTCATTACTAAATGATCCAAGCAATTGGTTGTTGATGTTATTGAATAATTTTTCGCGGTTTCAGGATCAGGGCCTGATCAAAACAAATGTTAATCCCAATCCACTGATATTATTCTAATAAATATCAGGTAACTGAAAGTACTCACATAAGCGACATTTCCACCTAGTACTTTGCTTCCCATATCTATCACACCCCATATATCTTTCTCCATGCTCCCATATCCAAGAATTTGTTTCTGGTCGCTTAGGTCTAAAGGCTTCGGGCACAGGAGAGGTTCTAGCAGGAGGTATCTCATCCAAATCATTCATTTGAGAATGACTATCTGGATCCTGCATAGAAATAGAAGGAGGGTACTGAGAAATTGATTCAGTGTCAGATTTGGACATGATTTCTGTCTGGAAATGCGAAATTTGATGATTATTGTAGGCTTTGTGCAAGGGGTGTTGTGTGAGATTGAACTGGAGATCATGTTCTGTCGTTTGCTTTGACAACTGTTGAGCCAAGAGCATTAATTCCACTCTTATTACATACCACTAAAGCACGGTAGCGCTTATAGCTAGCGCCATAATTCCATCATGTATAACGATTGAAGATATTACATATTCTGATTTGCATATATAAACAGATTATATTGACTCCAAATGTAGTTGTTGCGAGATCCTTGATAATGATTATTTATATATAATTTTATGAATCCAACCAATACCAAAAATTGTCGTAGAATTAGTGCTGGATAATGATACAATGATTATAGCTGGCGGATATTTTCTTTTCAATTTACATTTATCTCTTCGAAAAGTATCTATATTATGATTCTCAGGGTTTAGATTCCACTCCGAAATATGGTGTTAAGCCTACTGTTGGTAACCACCACCATTCTAACAGGTACCGCTTCGCGCTTAACCAAGCAGCCACTAAAGTACCTAGCTGGTATTTTATTTAATATTTACATTCAACGCATATTACTCTAGCTCTATTGCAATTCCCAGGGTTTAGATTCGACTCCGAAAGATGGTGTTGAACCTGCTGTATAGTAACCACCACAATCGTAACGGGTGCCGCTTCGCGCTTAACCACCCATCTACAAGAGTACCTAGCTGATATTTTATTCAATATATACATTTAACGCATAGCCCCTTATCTATATTATAATGCCCAGGATTTAAACTTGACTCCGAAAGATGGTACCGAAAAGTAAACCTCAATATATAGTAACCATCACCATTATACAAAGTATCAAACTGCCGCTCAACCACACGGCAACAGGCCTACCTAGCGGTTTTATTCTTCTATATATACTTCAGGCATATGCTGTACTATCCCTATTAAAGGTTCTAGGCTTTAGATTCGACTCAGACTCATGTTACCAGTACGATGGGGCATTATACCACACAATTCGTGCTGTTATCAAATTGAAACTGCCAAGAATTGCGATTCAAGTTGCCAAGAATTACCGAGAATTGCCGAGAATTGCCAAGATTCATGCGTTGAAGAACATTTATTAGCGTATAATTCAATTTCGATGAGTTTCAATTACTCTTATTAAAATAAGTACCGCTTCCCGCTTAACCAAACAGCCAAGAAAATACCTAGCCTATATTTTATTCAATATATACATTCAACGCATGTTATTCTAGCTCTATTATAATTCTCAGGGCTTAGATTCGACTCCGAAAGTTGATGCTAAACCTGCTGTATGGTAACCACCACCATAGTAACAGGTACCGCTTCCCGCTCAACCACGCGGCCACAAGGATACCTAGCTAGTATTTTATTCAATATATACATTCAACGCATGTTACTCTAGCCCTATTATAATTCCCAGGGTTTAGATTCGACTCCGGAATATGGTGCTGAACGTCACTGTACAGCAATTACGAAAGTTGGAACATATTAATTATTCAAGGTTAATTTGTTTTATTCTTGAATGTTTTACATTCTTTACAAGTAACTAACAGGTAAGCTCCTCAAAGCTCAATGCAGCCCAATCTACCTCCCTTTTTTCATCGATTTTGAGCACATTGAGAATGATATCTTGTGTGAGGTTGTTGCAATTAGTCCCGTCACTTGCAGCCAGATCTGTACCCTTCCCCATCCACCATTGCTCAACCTTGTACTTATTCTTTATCATTCTCATCAACGGAATTGGAACTCCTAGCCCACCACCAATCTTTGTAAATCTCATCAGGATCTTTTCGCCATTTTTGTCCAACTTCTCCATCCTGTCTGCATTGCTGTATTCCGGATCCATAAGAACGACGATGTTATTGTAGTAGATGAGGACAAAGGAATGAAAATCCGGGTCCAATTTCTCACTTCTGATCTTATGGGCATCGTGAATTGGGCCTGACATGAACTAGATGGTGCCTTTTTTGATTATTTTGGTGAATGCAGTTTGGATGGTGCATGGCCTTTCGAAGTCTGCAATTTGATGCTCAAGATATTCGTCACTGAGAGTGCTGTTCCGTTTGATTGCTGTAATTTCGTTTCGTTTGCGCTTAAGACTGGTGTAGGAAACGATTCTGGGGTGAATGTACCAGCGATTGATTTTTTTTAGAGTTCTTCAATGCCAGCCATGCTTGGATGACGGCTGAATCTGCACTCAGATCAAGGATGTTATTTTCGGTTACTGATTCGGACATTGGTTGGGTTGCCGGTGGTGTCAGTGGTAATTGTCAAAGGTGTGTGGTGACAGTGTGGTGACACTGGACTATGATTGGTTGGGCTTGGCACAGGGTAACCCCTGCAACTGGTTTATCAAATGTCGGAGAATTGCCAACTCAACTCAAACCTTACCTCAAACCCTACCAAATCAACTCAATTCTTGGCAAAGTTGAACGGTCGGCCGTCCTGCTTACGGCTAACAACCTAAAGTGAGTGCGGGGTGCATGTAGTTGTCACCAGGCTGCCATAGCTTGGTTGCCTGAATTAAATCCAGCCATAACTTGGTTGCCTGAATTAAATCCTATTAATTCGCGTCTCCACCGGCAAGTCCTTCGTAACGGCACTACCACCTTTCTTTTCCTTTCAAGCCCTAGACCTTCTCTATCCTGATCCCATACGAAAGGAAGCGACTTTTATTACCTTCCGGCTCGGACAATATTAACTCTGAAACCTACTGCTAAGCTACAGCCAAACTCCCTACACGAATTCTACGTCAACCAAACATCTCGATCTCACGTCTTTTATTTTAATTATAATAAACACGCTCTCGTTTCTACGAGATGGGTGGCGGTGGCTCTGTAAGGATCTCCATTCATGACCGTCTTCCCTAGAAACCCCATCCACTAACAAATAGCAGAAACATGAAGACGAGGCGAGACATCAAAGAGAGGAGAATGCAAAGCTACAGGCAGAGATTCAGAAATTGAAGGACGAACGGCAGAGGTTGAATGATGAGAAGCATGACCTTGAATTGAAGAGCACGCAAGCAGAAAATGCCGAAAAGGAAGAGAAACTACAAAGACTAAACGAAAAGCTGGAACAGACCAAGGCGAACCAGCAGATGATGGAGAATCTTCGCAAGACCCAGGAGGAGAAGAGAAGGCTGGAAGAAAAAATTAAGCTGGACAACTTCGCGAGGAAGCTCGAAGAAGACGCGAAAGCACGAGTTGAGAAAGAAACGTGGTTGCGACAGGAGGCCGAGAAGAACCTGGAGGAAGGAATCCCACCTATTAGATACCCTACCGGCGACCAAATCGCAGAAACGAGAGAAAGTCTTGGATACCAGGAAGGCCTTCTACACATTGCTATCACTGGCTGCTCTGGATCGGGCAAGTCTTCGTTGATAAACGCTGTCCGCGGCTATAAAAACCCAAAAACTGGCTTTGCTGCTTTGACTAGTCTCGACACAGTCATCAACAACATCTCTCCAGGACATCTTGCCCAAACTGGAACCAGTGAAACAACTACGCAGATCCAACGATACGCCGACCCGCATCGCGCGCGAAGAGGCCTGGCTTGGTATGACGTCCCTGGGGCTGGTACACTCCGTGTACGAGATTGGCAATATTTCAACGATCAAGGCTTGTATATCTTCGATACCATCATGATTGCTGTCGGCGACCGTATTACCAAGACGGACGTAGACCTTCTATTCCATTGTAAGCGATTCGGCATTCCCACCTTCTTTGTACGATCCAAAGCAGATCAACATATCAGGAATTCCATGGATGAGCCCTATGATGAAGCCGATGAGGATGAAGTTCGTACTGGATATATCCGACAAACCCGCACCGAGTTCAATAGCATTTTAACCAAAGTAGGGCTACCACATCAAAAGATTTATATTGTTAGCAAAGAGACTCTTCGATTACTCAACGACGGCAAGAAACCTAAACCAAAATCCATTATCGATGAAGAGGAGCTCATGAGAGATGTTAATGATGCACTTCATAAGTGGTCAACCTCGGTCCCCGCCGACGAATAGAGCGCAGGAGGTATCATGGGCTTGGATTTCCATTATTTATTTTCTCTTTCTGTTCTTTTCTTTGGGTTATGGGATAATGGATGGGGGTATGTAGTTGGTCGAACTTTGGGAAATCAGACTGTGTTTACAGCTAAGGCCAATTGCAACTGACTCAGTTTCTTTTATATTTCGCTTTTATTTTATTTGTACTAGCCTTGGTAAAACCTCGTTTAAGAATTTAGTTAACTTTACGTCATGATATTATGCTTGAACGAGATAGAACCCGTCGAACCAGGAGATGAATGTTTCTATTGAAAAGTAATCATCGCCCCCGAGAAAACCCATTGACTCTAAATTCCAGGATTCACCCTAAACGATAAGGTAGACAATATACAAAAATTAATTATTCGGTGATGCACCACCACCCACATGATTTTGGTTATTTCTACCATACAAATTTGATGCATTTCCTGATGCATTTCCACTCGTAGTAGAGTAGTACCTCTAAAAATATTACTATTCTATGAATCTAAAGTATTAACGCTTACTTCCGGCCATCCCCGGAGGACATGAAGACGCCTAAATGCTTTCTTCCATCCCTACCCACAAAGACTCCGTACCCATACCGTGCCCCCGCCTTCTTCAACTCCTCCATGCGCACCCGCGGAGTATCTCCCCTCACCCCACCACATACCTCCTTTGCATCACTAGCATACAACAACGACCACATCGCCGCAAGGTTTTCCGGTGCGTGCGCCACGGAATCCGAAGGCCGCGGGCCCCAATAGAGGAGGAGGATAATCGCCGTGGCGTACACAACGATCGCAATGCTAATGATGACCATTGTCGCACTCACTGATACCCGTTGTTGGAGTGCCTTTGTGAGCACTGTTATAGTCTGTGGGTCTGTGGCGGACTGCATCACATCAGACGCGTAGAGACGCAAGTTGATCGCGTAGAGGCGTTGGAAAATATTCTCAAAGGCGCCCGGAAGGATATCGGTGTTGGGGATGTGGGTGATATTCGGGCTTACATCACGAACGACCTGAGGGTATAGGGTAGTCAGGTGGTAGTTGAACCAGTCCAACGGTCGGAGCTGCAACTCATAGGCTTCGTAGGTTCCTTGGGCAGCAGAGCTGATGAACGTCCGTACCAGCTCACCGGGCCCATGCGGATAGAACTTGTTTAGTTCCTCCGGGGAGTCAATGGGGACTATGTCTTGAACACTTAGAACATCTCCCTTCGAATCGACGGTGGCTGCTAAGCGGACGATTTTCTCTGCGCTCGTGCAGCGGATGATCGCGCTATCGAGTTGCGGCAGATAGCTCAGAGACATATTCTTTGCGCCATGCTCGCGGTCTGCCGGCTGCTCGGCCCATGCAACAAAGAATGTGTCGGAGCACTGTGGGTTGTAGGCAAAGTAGTCGCCGGCTGGGATCGACCACACCATGGTTTCATTGCTTGGGATTGTTTCACCGGCGGTACGGTTCTTGATCTGCGGCCAGCAAGGATCCTTGACGGACAGTGTTGCCTCGAACGAGGGGCCCGGCTTGGACCAGTATGTGGGACATTTGGTTTTATAGGCTCTGGAATTCACAAAGCAGAACGAATCGACCTCCGAGCTAGGAACGAGATCACATGAGATTGATGCTCCAATCCCAAGAGTATCTGCCGACGCGGCCTGGAGACCGCCCATAGATGGGAGTGGAAACGGTAAGATATAATACTCGGTTGTGGTCCAGTTGGGCTGGGGGATTTCACCGGAGAGATTGCTCGATAGGACGTAATGCATCTCAAGTGCAGGGAGTGAGTCGAAGCCCCGTGTGAACTGAGGCTCGCCATAATAGTTAGGGACGGAATAGGAGATGGTGGACAGGACATTCATCGGAGAGAACAGTGCAGAAAGGGCAACAGTAAGGATATTGGCGAGAAGGATAGCAACGATGAGGCCTCCAAGCATAAAATCACGGGCAATTGCAGAACGTATTATCTGGAGCTGGGGTGGTGCGGTGTCGTAGTCGATAGCGAGAGAGCTCTCGCTACTCGAATGCCCGCGATGGAGGGGCCGATATGGGCCCAGCATGCAATGATAGCTACCGAGCGTGACAAGAATAGGTTCAACCAGGTGCGCTAGAAGCGTCGGGAGATATGCAAAGAGCACCTTGTACCCGAATGTGCCGGGCGAGGAAGGCGACGGGATGCCTAGGAACGGAGTTAGCAGACTCCATGCCGGAAACGATTTATGGGTTATTCCAAGTCTGGGGGGGGATGATCTTGTAGGCGGGTGTGATATGCTAAAGCATGACCCTATTTCGTCCATTATGTCCATCCCCATCGGGAAATCTTGTTGTGCTCACCTTCTCTGATTTCATCATATACGTAGAGCACAATCATAGTCACCAGCATCAGGAAAAAGAATGCGGCAAAGAGCGCCCCCGTAGTTGGGTTCTCAAGCCACCGCTTGTTCTTATCATAGCCCTTGCTCTCAAGTGCCTCATCTGGCTCCTCCATCAATATCTTTACCGGAATACCATCCTCGTCTTTCAAAACATCAACCCTCGGGCCAACCCCAGGCTCCAGGCCAAGCCGGTATCTAAAGCCACTCCGCACCAACACTCGCCTTACAACGCTCATTGGGTTGAACTCCGAATTTTCCAGCTGTTTTGCGAGCTCTGGGCTCCGCTGCAGGAGGCCCAGCGCGCTTGCCAAACTATTCGGCTCCCCGTCCAGAACACAGCGCCGTTCCCAAAGTAGGACGATCATTACGACCGTCAAGGCGGCGAGCACTGCAAATGCGGCCTGTACACCGCGGCACCAATTCTCGTTCATGCGAAAGCCCCGCGTCTTCACCTCCCTTGTAATCGTGGCGGGGACTTCCTCTGCAAGTGTATTAAGCCATTCGTCCCTGCACAGCATCGCAAACTGGAGCTTGAGCGCGCGGCGATACATGTCTGCGAGATTCTGAGGATCGAACAGGCTATCCAGAGTGTCATTGTGCTGAGTGTTAAATGCAAACGCCGGAAACCCTCGCGCCGGCTCCCCCAGGAACTTTGGCTGCACGCGCGGGACCTCCACACTGCCGCCGAAGCGACGCAGTACTTGACTAAGGTTGTCGGGCTGCGTCGGGGGCAGATACCCGAGCCCCACGAGACTGTAGAAATTATTCCTATAGGCTGTCAAATTTACCTCACCACCAGTATTGCCAACGTGCAAGTCGCTATAAAATTCCCCAAGACGCGATCTGTCCACCTGTTCTACGAGAATACGGTCCCCAGTTTGCGACACGTTCTGGATGACTCCGGAGGGCATAAGCACAGTAGCGTTGACGGGCTGCGAGTAGAATCGCGGCCGACAATAGATCGCGGTCAAGCCCCGCGAGCCAGACCCCATCCGCGTGTTGTTCCAGTCGCGGGGCAGTGCGGACGTCCAGATGTAGATCATCGAGTCCATAAATTCCTCATACTTGTCGCGTTCGCTGTACTCAAAGTACCTGTTGGGCATGTCCGCGAGACTATAGTGTGCCGCGCCGCTGGCAAATATGTCCTGTGAACGCTTGTAAACGAAAGCGCTAAAGCCGGGGACCACGTCCTCGAGCCGGCTCATTAAATCTGTGTCGTTTGTGTCGGCCACACCAGGTACCCAGAGGGCCTCGCCCACAGCGCCGTTGGGGGAAGTGAGGTTATAACCGATTGTGCCAACACCCTCCGCAACGATCGGCGTCTTTACCGCTTCGTCGCATTCGAGGTCAGCTTCGTAGCGGATGGATGGGCCCACCCACACCTGGCCGAGTTTGGCAGAGTCGGTGTCATTGCGCTTGATCACGCTGCTGTTAAAGTCAACCTCAGCCCAGGGCGCCAGCGCGTACGTGGGCGTGGTAAATGGCGGAAGAGAGCCATTCAGCCAGGCATGGCCATAGGAAAGGTATGTATATCGCGCAGAGAACGTAGCGCTCGAATAGTTGGCGGACGTATTCCTCCACTGCAGGGCGGCGAATGTCGTGTTGTGTGCTATTTCGTGTGATAGGTCACTGTCGTCGAAAAGGCCAGCCGTCATCGGGATAAGGACAAAGCTGGTGAGGAGAAGTATACATGATCCAGTCAAGACTGAATAGTGACTACAGGAGTGGGCCAAGTTAGCTTTCGCCGATTGATGGCTCCGCCCAAGGTTTGAGAGAAAGGGGGACAATCAGAACCTGGTGGAACTTTCGTATTGAGCAAGGCCACGGGAAATATAATGCATACCGTCGCTTTACCGCCTCGAACGGAACAAACAGTGGGAATAGATATGGATAGTCCAGCAGCAACGAGTCCTTCGCTGTCGCGCCCTCCTCGCGGCTCATCTGGAACCACGGTTCCATGCGCATAGAATCATGATGCAGGATTGCGACCAGAAGACCAAAGAACAGCGAAATGATTGTTGGCAGGTAGTTGTAGACGAAGTTCGTTGCCACCGAGAGATCCAAGGAGCCGTCGCCGCTGCTGCTGGAGTCGGGTTCGCCGAAAACGTGGCAGCCGTCGGGCTGGCATGACCGAAGGATGAGCTCGAGAGCAACAATGAAGAAAGTGCAGACGAGTGCAAACGTGAGGAGGTAGGGAAGACGGAGAGGCCAGGGGCGCCATTGCCCCACTACCGCAGTGGGGGTGCGGGGAACGAGAGAATATTTTATTCGAGAGCGCATTCTAAAGTACGTATAACGGTGTTATATATCGAGGCGATCGGGGGTGTGGGAACGCCGTTCCTTTAGTATGTAGTCGTTTGTTGCTGATCTGCACCAAGCGTTCCGAGCGGGTTTCGTATCTGTAACCCGACACCGCCACCACCACCGCCTGGGGGATCTGCAAAACGAGGAATCTCTCCGTGTCAGCACACTAAGATGCACCGGAATGCTTGGCGCAGGATACCTCCGCAGGGCTTTGACATGGATAGCTATCATAGCTAGAGGGCATATTCGAACCAACGCATAGGCCTCGAGCTCTGGAGGTAGCTTAGTATTGTCCAATCGATGGCCAGAGTAGACTTAGACTATGTAGCATGGTGCGACCATGGGCTGACCATGTACTTGTAACATGGCACTGGCAATGTTGGCGGTGGGGTGGGGGGGGTCGACATGACTGTAGTCTGTAGCTGCCATGGTACTGGTTCGTCGTTGAGTGTTTGTTGATTGAGGCTCAAGTAAGCAAGCAACGCTAAGTCCTAAGTGTTCCAGATCCCTTCGTAATACCCACACTAAGGTTCGAGTGAGCCTATATGATATCACCTGTGTGACCTCGGTAGAAGTGTCAAGATCTGCCGCCAGTAAAAGACTGTCACCCGCTGTATCAACCCGCCGGCTCAACCTGATAACTAAGAAGGAGCGACACCAACTGCTAGCTATTAGAGCTCAAGATCCGCTGCCAGTAAACCGCCGTTGCAAAGGCGGGTTCATATGGTACGGTTTTTAACATTACTCAGATCTAAGTTAATTACACGTTCGTTAATATTGATGCTTACTCAATTTTCTCATTGCGTTCTCATCACTCTGGCGGAATTACCTGCTATTTATTGTCAACATTCCCATTCAGGGCGGTGCAAGCTAAATATAATGAAAGCACACTCCGAAGCCAAGTTAATCCTCCGAAAATTCGGAACCTCCCAGAATGCAAGCTGTATCAAAGGAGGACAGATAGCTACCTACAGGAACATTCAACAATACAACACAGTACAAATCGCACCCAGACGGCCGGGCGGATTGAACATCAAAACACCAGCATCTCAGGGTTAGGGTTTGAACCTTGGGCGGGAGGGAAACCGAATGCGAGATCAAGATGTGCAATTAATTTCAAAGATATCGTAGACTCTCATATAAGCAATCTATCAGGCTGTCCCAGCCACATTCACACTTGTGATAACGCCCCGGCCAGCTTCAGCGCACAGAAACACCCCAATAATTCCGCCTCCAAAACAACCAGAATTTATTCACTACACTAGCTATAGAACAATTAATTACACACATTACGGTCCCTTCTCCTCCCCCGCCTCCCCCTCCCCCTCCCCCTCCCACTCCCCCTCCGTATCACACGACATGGGGATCACCAGCCGCCCCTTCGCCAGCCCCGCCGGCTGCACCAGCTGCTCGAACGAGCGCGTACTCAGATACCCATCGATGAGCGCTTTCGACTCCGTCAGCATCATCTAGCACCCCAGTCAGTACCCATCTCATCTCATCTCCACTTCCCCCGGTTCAGGGCCATACCTTCATCCGCAGCACGCTCCCGAGCAGCTGGAACAGCAGTGGCAGCTCGCTCGGGGTCTGGGGCACCTGGCAGAGGGTGTCGCAGCTGAGGAGGCAGACGTAGCCGCTGGCGTAGCTCATTCTTAGCACCTGGCAGTGCAGTCCTGCCATCCGCGAGAAAAGTTAGTACAGAAGTACATGGAGGTAAAAGAGCCAATGATCACAAGACCACATTCTTACCAGCATTGACCACCCCTGCCAGATGCAGCCTGCCCAGCGCCTCCACATCGTTCCCCACCTGCGACTGCAGGCTATACAGCATATCATGCAGCGCCTTCGCCACCTTGCCATAGTCATGCAACCACTTTGTGCCCGTCTCGCTCACAAACGCCTTCGACCCCTCCATGGCCGCGTACTCGTACCTGCCGCCGCCGTCCTGCACCAGCCCGTCGAAGCGTGCGCCGATCTTCTGGCGCTTCGCCGTGTCGTCGCGGTGCCGGTTCTTGCGGTGCGCGCCAGCGAGGATGGGTAGCTCGCGCCGCCGCGTGTTGAGCCCGCGGATCTCGTCGAGGAGCGTGTCGATTATGATGCCCCAGAGCCGGATGTCGTACCAGCACTCGTCGTTCTTGTTGAGCAGGGGCTGGTCGGGATTCTCAAACAGGGGGAGTCTACAATCGGGCGTGGGGGGTTCAGCGTCAATCACGATATGCGGCGGCGCAGCGGGGGTATGGGGAACATACAGCATGGTAATGACCATGTGGATCCAGTGACGGTCATAATGCTTTTCACGATCATATGTTTCACCCGCCGGCAAGTACGATGCGGCAGCCAGCTTCTCCCGCAGCCCCGCCGCCGTCTTCACACTCATAAACTCCTTCATGAACTCCACCGTCTTATCATCGATCGCCGGCCATTCTGGCACCTTCTCCAGGATAGCGCTCCAATCGAGCGGCTCAAACAGGTCTTTAACCTTTTTATTCTTGACATCGAGCACGAACGAGTGCGCAAGACACTCGCGGTCCGCGTTCTTCAGCGTCTCATAGATGATTGTCTCCACGAACGAGCCGCTGGGGAGCTTCCACATGAACTGCTCCTCCATCTTATTGTACATTTGCACGAACGACGACGGACTCCAGCCCGGCTGGGCCTCGCCGTCGGAATCACTCACATCACCCAGCGTCCTCTTACCCTTACCCTTCCCCTTCCCCTTCCCCTTGCCCTTCAGCCTCGACTTCTGTTTCGACTTTGCCTTCACCCTCCGCGCCGGCTCCCTGTTGATATTGACCTGCGCCCCATCCCCAATCGCAATCTGCGAATTACTGATCACCATCGGCGGCGTCAACGCGTCCTTCCTCTCCCTCGGGACGCCCCCGCGGTTCTTCTCGCGCCAGTCCCTCGCCCGCTGCCGGTCACCGCCCTACAGTCCACCGTTAAAGCATCACTACCATTTCCGCCGAGCGCTCCCATGCAGGAGCCAGGGCGCCGGGTGAGCAAGCAGCCTTGATACGGGGCGGACCAAGAAAGTCACCCCATACCCCAGCGCCCCATATCCCTGCCCGACCGCCTTGGACAGTGGGTGTCCCCGACCCTGCCGGGAACACGACCAACCGAGCAGGTCATCGTGCCCCGGCGGGGACCAGCATCGGGTGAGCAAGCAGCCTTGATACGAGGCGGACCAAGAAAGTCACCTCATACCCCAATGCCGGACCAAGTACGTACAGTATCTCGGATCAGTGATTCCCGTTGCCGTCCAGGCAGGTGTACGGGCAAGAACCGAGACGGATCCCACCAGAAACAATTGCTCCGCGGTGGAGTCCGTGCCGTTGATTCCCGCATGACTGTCGTATCACTTTCGCAAGGGGCGGGGGCTCGCGTACATACCTGTTTGTAGTTTTTGAGAAGCTCTTGGGCTCTGCACCACTTGTCGGGGTCGGTTGCAGCGACGGCCTCGAGGCTCTTGGTGTACGAGTCTACCGCGCGGTCGAACACGGCGTCGGAGATGTGGGAGTCGGCGAGGGTGTAGTCGAGATACTCGGTCACGTCCCAGAGCGAGTGGTGGAAGGCGTCCAGGTAGGGTGGGCGCGGCGGTGAGGGTGGGGCGGGGGGTGGCGGTGGTGGTGGTGGTGGTGGCGGTGGCGGTGGACGGAAGGGTGAACCCGTGCTGGATGCTGTGTCTGCCCTTGTCATGATGGAGAGCGATGATGTGTTGACGAGGATATTGTCGTGATGGTGTTGATGGTGTTGAGGATGGTGGTGTTGAGGATGGTGGTGTTGAGGATGGTGATGGTGTTGAGGTGATGTAACGAGGTGGCTGGGAAGCGAGGGCGATGAACCATCTTGCTTAGTAAGCAAGCACCAAGCCTCAGCTGTAGAGTTCTGCCAAGCAACACTGCCAAGCCAGACTCTTGGCGCCAAGTAAGCACCAGCGACTCCCTGTCGATGATTAAAGTCCCCACTTATCCGCAGCTGCAACAGGGTGTACTTTTCGCTTGTCGGATTTTTTTATGCTTTCCGACCCTTTCTACTCCAAACCATGGCAACCAGGTGAAGAAATAACTACCGTGAAAATGAATGGGCAACATGCGAAGCAACAGCCCTTTGGAAACGAAACCTCATTACGGAGCCATTTCCCCGCTGCTTCCGATGGTCGGGTCTCGGTATGAGTAATGCTCAGGCACGAGTGTGCAGGTGTGATGATGATTGATTGGCCATAGAGCAATGGCCTACAATACCGGAAATCGGGGTACCCTAGCTACAGTACTAGTAATACCATAAGGTAGGCAATTTTTTGCTGCTCAGACGCCCCGAAGTTAAACCAGTAGTGTTGGGAATAGTTTATTCCTATGAAGACGGGTTAAATAAAGTGCTGTATTTAGATGGAATTGATACTGTATGGCGGAAAATAATAAATTTTGAGGGATGCTGTATCAATACCATCCCAATACCATACCAACAATTCTAGTATGCCCGCACATGGCGGCCATCAAGGCCGCCCCGCTCTGACCACTGGTAACGCCGCATGCCACCTAAGTACCGTTATCCTGATGGTGGTCACGCTGTGACTAGTAGCGAAGTCACGCCCCTTCGGGACTTGTGGCAATTCGTAACTCTGTCTAAGTAGAACCACCAGTTGGCGGCGCTATGCTGCCCCTAGTTATCAAGCGAGGTCTTTGACCTAGTAGTGCTTAAGCTAATAGGCCATAATTCACAGGAATAGACAACCTTATAAAAATCATCCACACATGCGCATGTACGTACCACCTGCCCAAGGTATCAAAACCCACAGAAATATAATTTCTACGGTCAGTTTTAAATTCTATATCGAGAACCTGCCAGTCTCCAGGCCCGAAAATGAAATTTTTCTTATAAACTCTAGCGGTACAGATGCGGTATTTAGGCAAATTACCACATCAATACCATACTAATACTAGATTTCTTACAATACTGTATGAATATTAGATGTAAGAGAATCAGTATTGACTAAATAATGCGTATTTCTGAATATATTTTATTTTTACTCGATTGCTACTACTTGTACTAATAATCTATTATATAAAAGAGTACGGAAGTATCACAGAACTCCGATGGTATCAGACTTTTAATACAAGTAATAACAGAGTACTACCGTGGCGTAAATACCCCCATTTCCGGTATTGTAGTTTTATACAGGTCCTAAAACAAGACATGGTTGCTTGACCTGGTTCATGAGCCACGTAACCGCTGAACCGTGTCCTGACACAGTTACGCCTATAGCTACCCTGCACCACAACGCCGCACACAAGAAGAAAATCCAGCAAGCACATGTGCTCGTAAACTAAATATCTATCTTATTTCCGCCCTCTCTAGTATATAACACAAGCCATTAGAAGAGAAGAGGCAGCGTACTTCCAATTTCAACAAAACACACATACACGCAAACAAAACCCCAGCCGGATATGGCGATCCATTACGAAGAGACCCATCCGCCTGGCCACAACATTAATCCCTATCTCCTTTCGCTAACTATCTAGGTACTAGTATACTAGGTACGTACCTGATCCGCGCTCCTCCTTTCTAGTAGGTATAGGACTAATGCTAATTAGAGTATCGTAGTGGGTGATCTCATGCTTAGCAACCGTGTCCTACCACCTGGGCATTGAAGTAACTCGAGAGGCCGTTGATCGTTCTTCGTTACTGGTATTGATGATGAGAGATCAGAAGAGAAAGAATGTAGTCCTCTCTCCTCCGATCAAGTAGAGAATGTTCCTAATGACAGCTAAGCTAGAGTGTTCTCTAACCACATTCTCCGGCATCTCCGACACATTATCTGGTATATCCGCCTAGCTGGTGACACCTAGCGCTGAGAGTCGCAATTATGGGATTACATACATAAATGCCACAAGCATGCTCTCCCACCAGTTCCCGTGCCCGGGAAAGCGATGCTAAACAGCTCCACCAGCAACTCATAATTCTTTATATAATGGCATAAACCCATATTATCTCTTCGATTATCCCCATTTCCTTACAGGATTATATCTCCGCCCTTTTAAACCGAAATTGGCCATTCCCAAAGTCTACGGGACCAGGAAAAACGATTATTTGCTCTGATCCATTTTCCACGGTTCAATTGGCTGACTGTCTCTATAGAATTGGATGATTTACTCGGCCTATTACGAAAGACTAACTGCGACCACGATCCAAAACGCCACCCCTAAGCGAGTCTGATTGATTTGATTGATAACGCACTTGTGCACGTAGCCCGGAGGCTATGACATGCGCTAACCGAGTCTAATCAAATCAAATATTCGATTTTTGTACACGATTATAGCCAACCCGTTCCTCACACTAACTAGCCGGCCCTTATTAGCCATCAGAGCCAATGAGAGTAAACTGCCCTGGTGTTGTATGGTGCGCACACTCTTAAAGGTGACACGGCAGGATTTGGAAGTGGAACAATTGTGGCTGCAAGGTGAGTTTTAAGCCAATCAGAAGGCCTATTTCTAGCATTCCTGCCACAATTCGCTTTTTTTTTTTTTGGGGGGGGGGGGAGGGGGTATAAATGGGTATAATACTGTTCCACTTTGCTCAGTCTTGGCGCTTTTTACACACAAAAAATACGGAATTTCAAACTCCTAAGGCTTCACAACTAGAATAGATATCAAAAATCTGGTCATACAAGTTAAAGTTTATCACTAGTACTACAATCTGTATGACCCGATTTTTTTTAACCCTTTTTTTGTTGAAAAGCCTTAGGCAATCGACTTTGCCTCATTTTTCGGCTACCTTTAAGAGCGGGCGCACCATATCAACAAGATTCCCATACAAGGTGGGCCTCCCTTTCCGATTATCCATAACCCTAACCCTTGAATCTGCGCATGCACGTAGCTGAGTCATCATGCGTCACAAACAGTCACTCGTGGCGGTGTAGCTGCCGAGTGAGTCATTGTGACTCACCATCGGGCACCTGCCGTTGTACCTTTCTTTCTCGAGTTCCTCCATGTTCAAGCTGGAGAACATCTGATTACCAAATTATCATCTAGCTTGAAGTCCCAGATTGTTTGGAATGTTTACTACAGATCCTAGGTTGGATCCTACTACTTATACATATATTCAGTCATATCATGACTCTCTATGGTTTGGTGGTAATCTCATGTAGTTCAACCTCCACGCCTTGATACAAAACTACATATATTCAAAATAACCCTTCAAATTAAAACACCCACATATATCTAATCACATATTCATCCCCACTATCATCCACATTCACATAACCAAACGAACCGCCCCCTCCCTCCCCCGCTCTACACCAACGTCAACGTAACATCATCCAGATACAAATCCTTGTAACTCCCCGCCGGCACCGTCCCCACACACACCACCCTCACCGTCAACACCACCGCCGTCTGCGTCGCGCCCGCCTGCCACGCCGCCGTCACCTGCTGCCACGTCGCGCTCGCCGAGGCGCCCCTAGCCGCGACCGCCGGGCCCCCCAAATAAAACGCCGCCGTACACGCACTGGCCGAGATCGGCACCTGTATCCACGCGCTGAAGCTGTACGTGGCCCCCGCGCAGACCGTGAGCGTCTGCGTGAGCTCGATGATGCTGCCCGCGGATGCGGTGCGCGGGAGACGCATGCGCATGAAGTGGGTGCCGCTCTTGGAGGCGCCGTTGGTGATGGTCATGACGCCCAGGGCGCTGCTGATGGAGCCGACGCCCCAGGCGGATGTGTCTTCGAAGCTGGGGTTCTGCACGGGGGTGGGGTAGGCGCAGACGGGGGCTGCGGTGGTGGTCGGTGGTGGGGGTGTCTCGGTGGTTGAGGGTGTGGTGGGGGCAGGGGCAGGAGTGGTGGACGTCTCTGAGGATGTCGTGCTTGTTGTGGAGATCGTGGACGTAGAGGTCTCTGTTGGGGTAGTGTTAGTGGTCGTCTCTGTTGATGTTGTGCTTGTAGAAGTGTCTGTAGACGTCGTGCTGGTAATCGTCTCTGTAGATGTCGTACTTGTAGAGGTTTCCGTCGATGTAGTGCTCGTGGAGGTCTCTGTTGAGGTCGTGCTAGTAGTAGAAGGCTCTGTAGATGTCGTACTCGTAGAGGTTTCTGTTGCACTTGGACTTGTAGTAGTAGACTCTGTCGATGCCGTACTGGTAGAAGTCTCGGTAGCGCTCGTCTCCGTAGTTGAAGTCACAGCACCAGGCAAAGATACCGTCTGCGTGATTGTAACCGCAGGCTCTGTGATTGTTACTGCCGCCTGCGTGATGGTCACTACCGGCTCTGTGACTGTTACTGCGGGCTCAGTGAGCGTCACCGCGGGCTGCGTAACTGTTTCTGCAGGCTGTGTCAGTGTCGCTGCGGGTTCGGTGATTGTTACCGCCGCCTCTGTGACTGTTACCGGCGGCTGGGTGACCGTCACCGCGGCCTCTGTGATTGTTGCTGCGGGTTGAGTGACAGTAGCTGCAGCCTCTGTAACTGTTACTGCGGCCTGTGTAATTGTTACTGGGGGTTCAGTAACCGTAGCTGCGGCTTCTGTGATGGTGACCGCTGCCTGTGTAGCTGTTTCTGCGGGCTGGGTGACTATAATTGCAGGCTCCGTTACTGTTACCGCCGGCTCTGTGACCGTCACTGCGGCTTCTGTGACCGTCACTGCAGCCTGCGTAATCGTTTCTGCGGGCTGTGTAATTGTGACCGCCGCCTCCGCAACCGTCACCGCGTCCTTCGTAACCGCCACCGCCACCTCACTAGTGACCGTTACCGCAGCCCCCGGAACAGTGACCGCCTCTGTCACTGTCACCGCCGGCTTCGTGACCGTAATCGGCGCCTCAGTTACCGTTACTGCAGGTCTTGTAACCGTAACCGCCGCTTCAGTGACCGTTACCGACTCCTTGATCGTCACCGCCGACCCAGTGGCTGTAACAGCCGGCTTTGTAACTGTGACCGCAGGCTTCGTAACCGTTGACCCCGGCCCCGTAACCGTAACCGTAACCACGCGCCCCCCGCCGGCCGCTGTCACCGTCCTCGTCACCGCCGGTGCTGTAGCCGTCTTTGTCACCGCCACCGCCGTCACAGTCGCTGTCTTCACGCTCTCCCGCACCGATGTCACTGTGACCGCCGCACAGCTCGCACCGCTGCCGCTGCCGCTGCTGCCGTTGCCAGAGCAACTCGCGTGGGTCTTCTGGTACAAGTTCCCCCTACCACCAGTCAGTCAGCCATCCCACCCCAAGCCAGCCATGTTACGGTGCACACAAACCTCCAGTCGCCACCACACGCCGTCCGTCCATCCCCTCCACACCCAGTCCCACACTCCTCACTCCGCACCGGCCCCAACCCCCCACTCTTAAACAGCTCATTCCCGCAATAGCACTCCCTACGCACCTCAAGCTCTTTATCAGCATCGCACCTTTTCCACCGCACCCCCGCGGGGGGGGGGGGGGGGGCGGGGGCAAAAGAGGAAGAAAAACTCACCGCCCATACTCCACCATGGCGTACTCAAACCCGTCACACTTGGCTAAGCACTTCTCAACCGTCATTCCACCATCATCTACAAAGCTCTTTGCGCGCAGCAGCCGCCGCGACGAGTCGCTGTAGCAGCCGAGGGGCTTCCAGGCACATGTTCCGGGGTGGGCGGTGGGCGAGGAGTGGTATGCGGCGGCGGAGACGAAGCTGGGGATGAGGGCGCCTATGAGTAGGGCCGCTGCTGAGAGGGGACGCATTGTAACGAGTGACTTTTCGCTGGCTAGCTAGCTGGTAGAGATCGTGAATAACAAAGTGAAAAAGATCGTCAGTGAGATGCCTATGGGGGGGGGGAAGTGCAGATTTATATATATATATATATATATAACACGCCCCTTAAGGAACTCGCAGTCTCTACTAATTATCCAAAGCAGCCTAGCGCCTCTTTACTAGATCTGCGCCACACACAAAATATCCTGGACCCCTGCCAAGCCAACCCGACAATCGGGGAAAATCTTAGCGAGAGGACCCCTGTCAGTGAGCAGTTATGCTTGTTTTGTGGAGATGAGCTGCGACATCCTGGCCTAGCTCCGGGCATGCCGAGCACTGAGACATCTCGCCCGGACCACTGTGCGGTCCGGGTGGGGTGTGTGGCGAACACGTTTGTGCGGTTCTGGCTGTCGTGCCTGTGTTTTCCCTTTCTGTCGATCGGAAGTGAGAGTATGCCGAGAGAAATCCCCTCGTCTATGCTGACAGCCAACAACAAGTGCCCGATTCTAGCCCGGGCATATGTTTGTTAGGCAATAGACTATTCTTCCAAGCAAGGTGGAATACGTTCGCACCAACGGTGGGAGAGGTGAGGAAGACTCACTCTGCTCCTATTTATCTCCCCCTTGCCAAGAACACAAATCTATATCCCTTGTGCTCTGGATACGACACTTGTAACATGGCTCGTTAATTAAGGACAGTACGCAGATAACGACAATCTTCTGAATCGAGATAACCTTGTCTTTTCTATACTCTACCAATATCTGTGGATGTCTCTTGACAGCGCAGGCGCCGCCATCAATTCTCTCGCTAACGGGGACACGTTGCGGCACCGAGGGCGCGGATGTCGGGTACAGATACCTAGCTAGCAAATGTAGCCCATCCACACACTTGACACATGGTGCCACATTCACTACCGCAGCCTATCTTCAAGTCTTCTGCGCGTTAGGAATTTGTCTAAACCCCTTTCACGCTTCACGTCAAGATGGAGATGGAAACCCACCCCTCTATCTCATCCTATAAGCGAGGCTGGAAAGAGGCAAATTTACCTCGTTCATTTTGAGGAGATGGTGCATATCTTGAGCATGTCAAGCTTACCCCGCGGTTGACGTTGAGCTGAGTTCTTAGATCCTCTGCAGTCTGTGGGAAGTCAACAGCGATATCGATCTCACCGGGTACCGGCAAGGTGTGAATCTAGTAGAAGATCAAGCCCCCCTCCCCCCCCCCCCCCCCTAGAGGTTTTATATAGCACCCGGTATGGAGCTACGTGTGGTAAGTCTTTAAGACGTTGGGACCTCCCCATGTACAGCTACAACCGGCCACATAGCCCCACAACGTTGAAGACACACCTGATCCTCCACCTGGAAACCTTTACCTAACGTTATAACGACTCTTCAATCTCTACCAAGTATCTCCCATAGCTCCCCACCCCGGAAATATTCCAAGTTTTCTGCTGTCCGTATTGGGTCTAGTGCTGCCACATCTTCAGGGTCGATCCGTGTTGTGTCTAATACTGTCGCGCGCATCGCCAGGGCCGGAGAGGAGACATTCGACAGAGAAGTCCAGCCCGAAGGAGAAATATCTAAAGTAACTTACCCAGGAGGTTTATGCATAGCTCGATCCTAGCTTGCGTTGATGATGGTGAGGAGAGAATAGTCCCATATCCTCGACCAAATATTCGATAACTTTCTCGAGGAGTAATGTCCTGAACCTCGGGATGATTGATGAAGAGATCCAATATTGCCACACACAGTCGCACCGATAGAATCCCGAAATCCCTACCCTTTTAGCGGCATCCTATCAAGAAACCCCGCCATGCACAGCGCTATCATCACATGCTGGATCTCTCGATCCCCAACGTACCCGACGGTATTAATTATATATGCCCATAATCTGACCAAATCTCCGCGAAGATACAATATCACAAGCATAATCGGCGCTCAAAGGACAAAGATGAAACCCACAGCCCGCCAATGAACTTTTAATCATAAACCATCACTCGATCACAGAATTATCACTCGCTTCACACCGCTTCGTGCTGTCGACGGCACGCCAAGCACTTGAAACGACGCGAAGGCCAACATCATAACCAACCACTAACATATCTCCCGGAAAAGGTTCTGAAATCAGATCCCACGTTCGCACGCGAAGAAATGAGCTGAAGCAGGCGTGAGCGAGAAGGACATTAGCATCAACATAGAGTTCATGCCCCATGTAAACTCTTTTTTTTTTTCGAATCTGTCATTATTCGCGTAAGTTAACCTCTATTCCTACTAGGCTCAGTTAATGGGCTTATATATCTTTCGAGTAGTCCGGCAATGTCTGCATGTAGGTGGCACTGGATGTTATTACATAATTAGTGTTGAAATTGAGTGTCCTATGCTGCCTTTAGCTTGAGGTTCGGAGAGGATGACTAGGCTAGGACTGGCGAGCAGGGGTGAGGAAGATATCAAGTGCGGGTCATACTTACTAGGGTCGTGGTCAACGACCTTCTTCTGTCTTTCCTTCTCTCTTACTTCTGTAATCTACAACGAGGGTATCAATCAAGCAAATCAATCATCGTTTTCAACAATTAGGTTATGGTTATTAATTCAAGTTTTGTTTTCTACAATTATGAACACGCCCTTTAGTTTCTTTTTACCTGGAGCTAAATGACTCTTCTGTTATCATAGACAAATCAGCAACTTTATCTTCATCTCAACGATACGAGGGTGCTAGTAATACCATCATCCTCATCCATAGTCTAATTGGCAAATTATGTACGGTTTATAGTGGGGCTTGGCACGGGGTTAGGGCTAAAGGCAGAATCACAGTACTACCCGCAGGAAGATCTCGAGAAACCGAAATAAATTATGTAGATACTTCTGACACAGAAACCAACGAAAAACCCTGAATAAACTATAGATTACACAAAAGAAAAAGGAATATAACCAATAATTAAGTAAAGTCCATATAAATACCCATATCAATTCAACCCCAGCGCTGAGAACTGTGTAAAAGTGTCAAAAGGGTTCCTCCAGTCGCTACGAGGGATACAACTTACCTCTTCTTCCCATCCTAGCTCCCCAAAATCATCCCCCTCTTCCGATTCCTGCTCTCCAAAATTGTCCTCCTCCTCCTCCTCCTCCGATTTCTGTTCTTCAAAATCATCCATCATCAGATACCTCCCATGCAATATATGTCCCATGTGCGTGGCAATATAGCTCTGCCCCTTCCGCCTGAACCCAGTCAACTCTCTCACGAGAGTAACCGGGCTCTTTTCAAAGGGAGATTTATACTGCATCCCCACTGTCTTTCTATCAGAGACTTTGACAAATCCGTCGCTCTGTATGGCAAATCTCTTTTCTGGGGTGGTCTCGTCCAGATAAAGCCCAAGAAACCCACAAACCCTTTGATAAACCTTGTAGTTCGGAAAGTAAAGCTGTCCGGCAAAGATATTGAGCTCATCGATGAGTGAAATGTTAGGTTGCCAGACCGAGGGGAGTCGGGGGATGGTACAGAAACTGAGCGAGTTGTAGGAAGGAGTGGAGCGCGTGACCTGGGGGGAGTACATGTGTAAAACAATCTTTGAGGAGGTTCGGATATCGGGCAGAAGTTTGTTCACTTCGTAAGGGCTCATTAAGATAAGTATACTCTTATCTGCGGTACTTGAGACAATCCAGTTAACCGGTCGTAAAAAGTCATCGGTTTTACTTTCCTTGAGCGGCCGCCCATCGACGACCCTGCAAAAATCATTTGTTGCCAGCAACTTTTCAGAGAATGCACTCTGTTGGTAAATATCTTTCGCTGATGTTTTCGCAAGTACACTGAAGGCCGGAACGAAGGATCGACGGAAGTTGTTCGGGAGTATTCCAGTTAAGACGAACTGTCTGACCTCGTCGGAAACATTGTGCTTTGCCGCTCCGACTTGTTCCGGCCGTTGGTTTTCCCTTTCACATTCCACCTCATGTGCAAGCTCCCTCTCCTGCTCCTCCAACATCCTCGCCCCACGGAATGACTTGACCCCGAGTGATTTACATTTTTCCAGGATTTTGGATAAGTCACTATCTTTGACCCCTGGCTTCCGATAGGAGTCGATTGTTTCCTCTCTGAGACGCTCAAAGCCATAGTGTTGCGTGAGTGTTTTAGATTCTGCCTCTAACAATCCCTTAGGGAACTCTTTTCCTTCGCCAATATCATTCCAGGCTGCGAGATGCGTGTGATAGTTAATTCCTTGTTTGGCCCAAATTGGGAGGAGCTTTCGAGCGTTGTCGCAGGTTTCTTGCATAGACCAGTAAAGAACATCACGAACAGTGACAGTATCGCGATTATCTTCCTGGGCAATTGCCATAATTTTCCTATGAATTTCGGGAGGACCGCAGAACATGACAGTGTGTCCATTCCCGAGCTTTCTCATTCTCATACACGCTGTTATCCATCAATTAGCCCAGTTCCATACTTATAGGGATTGATCGGGTGAGATTCTCGCCTTGTACAAGCCTATCTTTTGTCAGATTTGGTCCTAGTGTAACGGCGGCCCTCGCCCTTGCGGGAAGTTTCAAATCAGTCCCTCTCGTATGTGCTTCATCTAGATAAACCAAACAACTATCTAGTCTTTCTGCGAATGCAGAAACCATCAAAGGTTCTTTATTGCCATCTCTTGTCAGTGCCGTCAATTCATCGTTATCATTGAAGTACACCGCCGCTTGGGCAGTGCCATCCGATACAAGGTCCAACCATCTCCTTGCAACTTCCTCATTCTTGAATTCCAGAACCTGCGCGCCAACATCCAGCAGAACTAGAATTTGACGACCACCTGGATTGACAAGGATCCTGAGTAGCTGCTCGACACCGATGCGCTCGTTATTACTGGGCCCTCCTGCTATGTATTTATAGTTATTTCCCTCCTGTAGAAGGTAGCTCAGTACCCGGGCATTGGTGTTTAGCTGCTCTTCCGTATCGAGTTGCTCGATAGATAGTGGAAGGAGGTAGCGATTATCATTTGTTCCACTAAACCCGGTAGTTGGGTATATCTTGGAAACAGCAACGTCCCAGCCCGACGAGGAGAGTTTATAAGGGAACTCTTTGGCTTCTTTAGGAAAGACAACTCCGGAGAGATACGAGTCAATAACTGCTTTGTTGAAGTGAAACGTTGGATATATTATCTTTTCCCACTGCTTCCTGTCTTCAAGATTGATACCGTTGAGCCTTTGGAGGTACGGCTTCGGAAGATCGACGCCCTTGATCCATTTCTCGTACTGCAGAGCTGGGTTTTCTGATTTATAAAGATTCCTGAAACATGTCTCCAATTGTATATCATCCAGTCCACCGTAGTAGTAGCTGAGGCAGGTCAAGATAATTGCGACATCGGGATGACTAAACTCTGCTTTCCCGGCCGGTGAGTCCTTGGCTCTATATGGCACCGCAAGAAGAGACCGATTGAGATCAAGGCCGTAATCAACTTTCCACCTCTTTTCCTTGAGAGAGAAAAGCAAAATGTTGTGAGCGATTAGACCTCGGAGGAGATAGAGTATATCGCTAGTTATGCTATTTTTATTGAAGTACCTAAGAAGAGGGGCCGCATCCTCTTTGGTCATGTAGGTATCGGTGATGAACCTGGTAGCGAGTGCTCGCATATCGGCGGGGAAGAGTCGAAAGGAAACAGTAAGAAGTTGGTCTACACATATAGGTTAGGATAAAATTACCGTTATAACGTCATTTGGTTGCCTCGGTAATCCGATGAAATTCCATACCTTCAACAATTCTATGCGCAATTTGGTTGAGCAGATCTTTGCCGGCCTCGAGATTTAAGATTCGTATTGACCCAAATCTCTTTGTATCGTTATGTCTCTCCAGTTCAAAGTCTTGAACACTGGTTTCCAATCCCATGAAATGCTCCTTTATTAAATTGAATATCTCTTGAATGATGACCCATCGATCAGGATGATTCTGTATTGGTGCCGGATCCCCGATTGTATAGATCAACTCATGTTTTACGTTCAAAATCTCGTCACTCTCGTCCAGTATATCCCTCGATGTTGTGTCCAGCCATCTCTGTTTTTCGAGTAGTAACCGCGCCACTTGCCGATCATATTTCTTAACCATCCCACCCGATTGCGCAGTTCCTCTCTCCTTATCCGTTGCGGAGTTATGAAGCCATTCTAGTCCAAGTAGCTTGAACGAAAGAATATGTTCTGGCTGGACCAGCAGTATCCCACGACCTTTCAGACAATCATCATACAGCTGATTGACCACTTTTATCTGCTCCTTCCCCATGGAAATACCCCTTGAAAATGGCATGAAGAAGATTCGCCTGTTCACCAAGCCGCCAAGCTTCTGGACAAGTGTTTGAAACATCTGTCCTGATAATGGCTTCAGCACCACAACACGCACCAGCTTCTTCGTGTCTGCAAGGGATGCTGCGACGATTGGGACAATCACGGAAGTCTTTCCCTCACCCATACATAATTGCATGATTGTATTTGTGTTCTTAGGGGGTGTGGTCATCTTCGAAGCGATATCAGCTTGGACTGGGCGGATGAGCAGATTATTCTCGATTTCTATAAGAAGCCAGTCCGGGTGTTGGATGGGATCCCATCTCTCGTGCCCAGTATTCTCGAGCTCTTTGAGGAAATCAGAGCTTATATCTGGAGACGTATTCTTCGGAGAAATACGGATGAGGCGCTCAAGGCGCTGAAGAGTGGTAATGGCAATACCATACGTTATAAGGGCCTCTTTCCAATCTGGAGATAGTTCAATGGTACAATTGGTGGCCAGTTGTTGAAGGAGGAGCATTGGGCAGATTCGTGGCCAGAGACCAGCTTGGAAGGCCATGAAGCTACCTTTGAGAAGCTTTGGTTTCAGTTGCTGCTCAATAGCCCTGAAGACCTTCCACATGTACTCCTCAGATTCCACCTTTAGCTTCTTCAATTTGTTCAGAAGACCAATCACCTCAACTGAATCAGGAGGCGCCGGCTCAGATTGAAACGCACGAATGCTATCCTCGAGACCTTGGGTGTATATTTTTTGGAACTTCCCAGGGTGCGAAGCTCGGAAGTCTCGCAAAAGATCTTCAAGGCCATGATTTTTTGGTTTTGAATCTGCTCCTGAATCCCGAGCGACAGGGTTCCGTGCCAGAATATCCGGTCGCGTCGGTAGGGAAGGAGTTGAGCGCGCCAAAAGGTCTGAAAGTCGTATGGTATTTCGCCGCCTTGATTGACTGTATTCGCATGGCATAAAGTGGTAAACGGAGGGGATAGATTTCTGACTGTTGTTGATCCTTTCCAAAACCTTCTGTACATCTAAAATATGGCTTCGAAAGTCGGAATTGTGATTCCAACTCTTAAACCAAGGCTCAACGGCCAAGAGTACATCCGCAACATTGTATAGCGGGTAGGCAGCTTCAACAGCGATATTAGGCTCAAGGCTAGGCCAAGACAGACGTAGCTCACGCGCCATCTCTCTTGCTTGTTTCTCCTTATTATGATTAAACGTATTGGATCGTCGTTGTTGAGTCGCCTGTTCACTCTCCAGCACCCAACCATCCAGTTTAGACTCCTCGCTGGCGGCGAAGTCTATAGCGCAGGGTTTGATGATGCTACAAAGTGCCTCATCATATGGTTCGTATCCATGCCGTAGGTTGTAGGAAGAATGAGTTGGAGGTTCGATCGTCTTGAAGGCTTCAACCGTTCCAAATGCCAGCAAGGTCTCGATGATTGTGAGCTCAACCTCACCAGAGTACACCAAAGTGGCGAGAAGGAATAACCAGTCATATCGCTCAGCATTCGTTCTTACTTCCCTTAGACCGTTATACAAGGCGATCCAGACCGACGCCAAATCCGGCTCCAGCCATTTGTCGTTGAATCCCAGCTCCATCTTGAGTCCCCCCTCTCTCGGCGCAGATCCCTGTATCTCACCCAGGCCCTCAAGGAAGTTTAATATATTCGGATGAACGTTAAACGGCCCACGCCATTCTTTGACGAGCCGAGCCACATATGCAACTCTAGCCTCTTCGGTACTCCCATCAACCATATCCCTCGCCGCGTATATCTTGTCCTCTGTCTTGTCTTCTACCATATTTCCTCCAAACTGCTCTGTCCGAAATACCGCATTTCTTTTCGCTGCTCTGTGTGCCAGATCTTCTGCTCCAACATTGTGGGAAAGGATTGAGCCTCTAACATCTTCAAAAATATTCAAAAGTTCGGCATACTCTGAGACTTCTTGGACAGCCTTGCGAAATTCGTCATGTTGTGCAAGAGGAGAAAGCCCAGATATCCACTTTACCTGCTGCATGCGTTTGAGATGTTTCGGATAGTATTCACGAATTGGCGTCAAATCAGAGATACGCCTAAAAAGATCGGCTTCAAAGCTATCCGTCTCCACTCTCTGAAAGGATCTGGTTGCCGCTGCTCTCAGTCCGAGTAATGCCTCTTCTGTCCCAGTTCTCTGAGTGAAGGGGTCTGGAAGACAATGCGAAGTTACTGCATGTAGATAGACCTTATATAGATGGCTTGTGAGACTTCCATTTCCAACAACCGTTCCCAGAATCCGGTTGAGCGTGTAGACATGGTACTTTACCCTCTCCATTCCCGTGGTATCGATTTTAACTTTTGTATGTTTTCCCTCTTGTTCGAAAAGGATCTTTCCATGAGGGATGATGACGCTTCGGATTGGGCCCTGGCGGACAACAAGAATGTTTTGTAGCCCAATGAAAGTTCCAACCGTTTGATCATGATCTATCACCATAGCAGGGAACTGCCTGCACTCCATGAAATTGTCCCGGTTGACTGAAAAGTCAAGCTTCAGCCGAGGAAGATGTACCCTAACAACGGCAGCCCCGTAGGTAACCTGTATAAACTCTGCAGCTTCTAGAGGGGCGAGAACGGCGGCAATGGCATTTGCAGGACCACTGCGGACATCAATCAAGTGACGATCCTCGCCAAGTCTAAGCACGGTCTTGAAGTCATCATAGCTATGCGAAATATAGAACTTTTCTTTTGTCTTCCAAGGGGTTTTGCGATCCCGTAGATAAATTACGCCGGTAGTAAAGTCGTTACCAGAGAGCATTGCAGCGGCGGACGGTAACTCTAACCAAAAGACGTGATTGGAGATGATATTGGCAGGTAAATCGCCAAAAAGCTTGTCGCTCGGAACGAATTGATGAAAGATACCGTCTTTCTCGCGCTCGGTGCGGATTATAAGCTCGTTTTCTGGTTCTTGCATTGCAAAAGCAACCTTCGGTCTTTTTAGTATCACTCGAGGGGGAGAAGATTTAAATTTCGGAGGGATATCATAAGAAATACCTTATGGCCGTATATTGCGTGCCTCGTCTGGAAAATCATTCCAGGCATATTTGAGGGATATACATTCAGTATCTTCTGTAGAAGATTATTTGGTTAGTAGCACAAAAGTGTAAAGCGAAAGGTGTTTATAACATTGAAATGTCTTACCTCTTGAAATAGCTCTTTGTACGTGGGATGATTTGTATATGACACAGGCATTCTTCCTAGTGGTAACCCCTCCACCAATAATTCCCCGCTGATTAGATTGTAATGCACCTTCTGACTTTCCTTCCCCTCCCCTCCACCGGTATAAGTATATACCCATCGTTCATTCGGGCAGTCCATGGCCGACCAGGATTCTCCTCGCTCATACGCATTCCAGACTGGTTTCAAGTTAATCCCGGTCGGCCCCGGGTAATGTTCACCACAAACCAAACCTCTTAGATGTCCCTCGATAGCATAGGCCATTCGTGTATCTCTTGCCAATAGTGATTTTATCGCCATAGGTAATACACTTATACCACTCGGTAAGTTATAATGAATTGTTGTAGCGCATTCCACATACACAGCCACGTCATGAGATGTGCGCAGCATCGCCCAAAATAAAGGATCCTGAGTGTCAAATGTCATCCTGCACGTTGCGGCAATTTGTATGACTCTCAGTTGTGAGTCTCGTACTTCGCTAGGGTCACACCCAGGAAGCTTTTCCGCCAGCTCCCTTGTCCAAGCTAAACATACCCTCCGTGCTTCTTTGAGGAACTGCACTGCTCTGGAACACACATACGTTGACTCTGTTCCTGCCATGATCTGGATTGCCAAAACAATCATTATCTGGACAGCCGTAACCTCTTGCCAATTTTCTTTGACTCCTTCCAGCAGTACCTCTAATTCCTTTATCATATGTTCCCCAAAATCTTCTTCTCCGGGTTCCACATGGCACTCTCTTCCATTATCAACGTTTCCAGAATGTCCTACCTGCCAGGCTGCTTGAAAATAGAGCATACCGACTGGCTCAGCGCTAAAGGTCAAGGTGCGGCTTCGAATCTCTCTGAGCATGTTGAGCCATTGGATACGCCACCCAGAGCGCATAAGGCCAAATGCAACGTATTCATGAAGCTGAAGCTCCGGAGGGCACTTGGATTGATGCGCCAATACTTGATTTGGTGTGTGTGAAGTCCCTTCAACTGCATGCTGGAGAGATGAATAGGGACCCTTAGGAAGACGAAATGTACAGAGGCGACGGCAGTCAATGGCATGCGGCAGGTCAGATGTCCATCGAGCGCTTTTGGTGTCATAGAGTGCAAATTTAAGTGCATTCCTGACACAAATGTCTTCTGTAGTAGCGGGTAAGCGTCTGTAGCGGTAGTGAGATGATAAAAATGACTTGGTCATGGAGGTATAACGCAATGTGCTCTGACCAGATACTTTGTGGTCTTCAAAGTAATGTTTAAGGCCGGAATAGTCTGAAAGGTTCTCAAATGGTTTAGAAGGGCTAGTTTGGGTATTTATAGGTGCGCAGAGGTCATTACGTATCCGGAATGTTGCCTCTCTCCAGATTGCAAATGGTTGAGGACACCGAAGCTCAAAGACAACCGCTGCCTTCAGGAGGGGATCATCTGGAAGAGGCCATTCGTGGACTTCAATCCTCATCGTATCTGCCTCTTTGACCTTGGCGCACTTTTTGCAATTTCTATCGTGACGTGTCCATCCATCTTTCCAGTGAGTATAGTAGTCACAACTGAGAGTTCGGATGATGGCTAAGGCATTAAAATATTCGGTTTCTCTCCGAGCCAACTCGGCGATCTTGTTCTGCCTATCGATAGCGGCATCACTACTGATCTGCTTCTCCAGTTGAACAAGATTATCACAGGACTGGAAGTAACAGACGGAGAATGTGTGTTTTGTTATATCTTTTGAGAAGACGGAAGTGCTCATTGGGAGAGAGGCGGAACGGCGTTCTTTGATATAATTCTCAACCAGGGAGAGCCGTACACGTTGTTGACGCTGGGGAAGGAGGAGGACGCAAAGGAAGGATTCGTTCAGTTCGGGTGAGTATTTGGAAAGAAGGGGACAGGAATCTACTGCTAGCTTATCCAAAGCCACCCATAGCTCCATCACTGTCAAGATCATGATTGAATTTCTCTCGGGGTTCCCTTGATATGCAACCCTTGCCACTTCCATATAGTCTTGCATGCTTCCTCCGAGGGTGTTGCAGGCTTCGGTTGTGTTCTCATTCGTAAATACAGTCAACCATCCATCGAGGCTTTCCATGACCCATCTCTCAAAGTCTGCCAACATAATATCTTGAGTGATTCCCGCATCTTTAAGACGTGATGTTTGCGGCATCTTCCATACATCCGCCATGTCAATTCGCCTTACCTCTCTAGGAGTAAAGGTCTCCCTCTCAGGTTTGGTGCATTTAATATGTCTAAGTCCTTTGACATATTCCCTGCTATTGCGCATCGTGATGACCGTATCCTTCATGAAGCTTGCGCCGAAGAGAAATACTGACCGCCATAAACCCCATGGGTCCCGCCTAATGCTGTTCTGAGTCTGAAGCCATTCATCATTTATTTGCTTGTAAGTCCCATCCACGGCCCTCTCAGCATCGACTAGGACAAATTGAGGTAGCTGGTCCCGCAGTTTATAAACCCTTCTCGCCAACTTTGCATTCATGACAAACAACCTATCCGCTCTGACTCCTCTTTGTGTAGCGAGGATGAGAACTTGTGCCATAAAGAAGATTATAAAAGATTTGTAATCCTCTTGCCCGAGCACCATCCGAAGTGCCACCCTTACAACGAGCCAAAGTGGACTTCTTCTCCATGGTATAACCGCGTTATCCCACAAAACTTCATCGCCAATTCGTTTCATGAACCTTTCCACATTCACTTCGTGTCCAACTCCCCGCAGTATTCCCGTCAGCAACTCAGAGATAAACATCGGGTGTGTGCTCTCTCGTTCCTCCTGCAACGTCTCTCCCGCTTTCTGACCCCTTCCGGAGGCAGCACTGATTTGATCACGTTTCATCGTCTCTAAGAACTCGGAGAGCGGTTTCAGGAATGTGGGATCGATCACTGTTTCCCATGCAACAGCAACGGCTGGACCTGGGTAAGAAATAAGAAGTTTTCCTATCGCTTCAGTGACAGCTGAGGAAGTGGGGGAAGCCTCGAATGAGGTGAAGATCACGGAATTTTCGATACGGCGGAGAATAAGCCCAGCATTTTGAGATGTTATGTGAATACCGATTGCGTCTAAATACTCAATATATTAGCTCTATCGCCAATGATACCGAAGGAGAAAAGCGTAGCCTAACCTCGATCCTTCAAACCCTTCACTGCCGTTGCAAAAAGATCGGCCGATACAGAAGTGTTATTTTCAAACATGCCAAAATGTTCAACCAGCTTGTTCACCGCCGACCATACCGAGTTCTTGGTAAAATTACGTGCATAGGAATCAGAGCTTTGGTGCAGAAGCTGTAAGAGCGCATTGTTTTTATTGCCGATGTATTCCTCAGTGTTTTGTGGGAGCTGTGGGGGAAGGAAGACATGGTTGATAACAAACTCCAGAGATTCATGCTCAATTCCAGCTAAGAATCGTTATAAAGTGTAACCATTACGTCGGAAGTTATCCCCTGAAGAGTAATTCAAACTAGATAAAAACGAACCTCTGAATTGTGCCATAGCTGCCAGAGGGAGAGTTAAATCCGTAGATACGTATATAAGACAAGTAATGTAAAACTATGAAAGAATCGGAATTTGATGACGTTACCTCTCCGGGTATTTTGCGTTGGGGAAGAGCACTATGATGAAGTGCGTGTTTAGACAAACCTTTGCGCAAGTAATATTGAAGTTGCGCCAAGACAATCATAAGATCGACATTATTTAGGCAACCCATCGAAACTAGGCTCAGGGACAAACAGAGCGGGTAGATTCACTACCCCTCACCAGGCTGCCAACCACCTGGTTTCATACCAGATCAAGCAAGGATTATGATTGGCTACTAAACCTATGGCATGAAACATAACATGCAGATCTGCAGCTGATCGACCTCAAAGGTAGCCCCAAGGCTAAGAAGTCCACTGCTCCAGAGTACTATACTGGAGAGAGGATATGCGGATATATTGCAATCAAGTTTCGAGGGAACTCAATTGTATGTGGTGCAAACGAACAGTACTATGACTCCAGTAGGGACCCAATGTCTTTGTGAGGCGTTACCGGAATGACTCTCGATATAAGCGCATCTAACAAGCCTTCACTGGCGCAGACCGAACCTCTATGACTGCATCCATAAGTTGAGCTACGACATTGGACCGTGTTGACGGGCCTTTTGGTCAATAAGAGGAGATAAAGCTGGGCTTGGCTGTTTCTCTTTGCTGTTATCCGGTGTCCATCATCGTCCCATACATATTATATGTCTTTGCATTTAGAACCACCCATTATCTGTGATTCTCCGTCTGTTATAGGTTCCAAGGCTTGCCCTAGTACCGCAAAATCTCGAGTTATTCGGGGGGTTACCAAGGCCACCTACTAAACTACATTTAGTTTAGATCCTCTAAAGGTGAAGATCCTCAGCTTTTTGCCCCGGCAACCCCCAAATAACTCGAGATTTAGCGCTAGGTATGTAGTTTTCTCTAAAATTGATCTGTCTCCAATAGATATCAAGTCAAGCAGGCTTGGCCGCGCGGTATCTGAATACTTCTAGTTATCCCTTAAACCGTCACCAAAGTGTTGACCCACCAAAAAAAAAAAGCAAATTTGGTATGGCTTTACTAACAGATCTTCTTATCTTTCTTATCAAATAATAGATCTCCCATACAAATTCAATCCCTATATCACCGGGGTCAGCAATTGACGGGTTAAGGGATAGATACACAGGAGTGCAGAGTACATACATGTGACTTCCGGTCTTGTCCGACATGTTCATTACCAACGATGCCACCACTAAATTATATTCACACATGAGTGATAAGTGATCGATCTTCAAATCGAATCATCGGTCAATTAGCACTTGGTCTATCGTTTAGTTGGCCGGAAGCGCTACTACGAAGTGAGTCATCAATTATTATTTAAATAGAGTAACCAGCAGATTGGTAGAGATTAAAGGCTTGAGGCACAAACGGGAAACAAAATAAGTACATGTAGTGAAGTGATATGTAGGTATTATATATATTATACGTATATATTTGCATTCTCTCATGCTCAGCGGGCGGTCGTGCGATGCCGATGATGAAAGAGATGCCGATTTAGGTGCCGAATTGCTTCGAGTGACCTGATAGATGTTGAATTCAACCCATAGTGAGCTTTCATGATCAATTCGAAAGAGATCCAGGTATAAGGTATCGTATGAAGTGGGTGGAAGAAGGGTCTGGGAGCCTGGGCTTATTACCAAACAGATCGGCGTATGTGGCTGTTTGTCGTGCCAGTTGTCATTTGATCTGTCATCTGTTTGCTCGCCAGCTCTTGGTTACCGATTCTCAACCACTACATGATGTGCACTTCGACCAACCCAACAAACCCGGGAGACTTATAATAGAGACTTTTTTAGCCACCAGCAACGAACAAACAATTCATAATCCTAAGACCATTCTGCATGCATTAGCTTCTTGACTCGCATAGCCTCACAATTGCTCTGAGAGGCGCTAGAGGAAATCTTAGGCATTAGGATTGAATATATCTCTAGGCGTATATATCCTTGAGTCTTGCAGTCGCGTCGAAGGTTTTATATCGCATCCAAATTGCATCCGGCTTGCATGCCGATATGTCTAGGAAGTCTTGGGAATAAATAATATTTTGTTCGTTGCTTTAAGTTGCTGGCTAGGGGTCTCTAATATACCGGTCTATTGTATAAAATCCGACTCTCCCCCACACGTGCGCTGACCCTAAAAATCTAAAGGAGAACTCGCCCGCTGAAAATTGGATTATCAGGCCTATTTATTAATTTGTCGCACCGCTTGTACTGTCCACTAGTACAGTACGTAGGGGCCAGACTACAGTAACCCAACCTTGAATTTATGAAGGACTATAAGTTATACACACATAGAGACGTATTTAATTAATAGAACAAGATAGCGAAGCTTAGGGACAAATTGTGAAGGAAAAATACACTGCGTTGGATCATGGAATGTATCATGATAGGTTTCCATTTTGATGGAGTCGGCTCGATAAGTAACTTGCATGAGCCCAACACTCTACTCGGGGCAGGCAATAAGAACCTGAAAATGCAAGCTGCAAGCAGGGGCTCAATTTGGTGTAGCTTTTCGCCAGCCGCGAATCAGAGGTCGTTACCATACAAAGTCATTTTCAGGTTCTTCATGCCTGTCCCGAGTACTTGGCCCATGGCACTAGCTTCTTCGGAGCAACTACGTACATGCATCACCACAAATCGAGGGATCCGGAGCCTTTCCTCAAGCTGGCTCGTCGATCAGCACAGTGATTATTATTGTTATACTGGATACATAGCAGTAAGTATTGTAATAGCTCTACTGTCTAATAAGGTAGGTTTGGGATGGCCGACATCTCTAAAAAGATTCAACCACAGAGATATATGGACCTTGATACCGATGGACTATGATAAGAGAGACAACTAAGAAGCTGAAGTTCATTCGTACGCAGATATGTATGGTGCGCACACTCTTAAAGGTGACACGGTGGCATATGGATTTGGAACAACCAGAGGGCTCATTTCTAGCCATTTTGCTGCATCACTGCCATAACTCGATCGGGTTTGCTTTTTACATGGTATCCCTTAGACGGATAACATGGTCAAATTCGCAGCTTGGTCCGTGCACGTACCTCATTGGGTAACTTTCTTTTCTTTTCCGAATAACAATAGCCAGAGAGCCAATCAAATCCAGTGATAATTACTAAACAAGGCTAATATCAACCCAAAGGGGCAAGCTGCGAATTTGACCGTGTCATCCGTCTAAGGGATAAATGGGTAATACCGTTCCACTTTGTTCGGTCTTGGGGCTTTTTATGTACAAAAACAGCCGACTTCAAGCTCTAATAACTTCATGACCATGATAGATATCAAAAGTCTGGCAAGATAGAACTGAGGTTCATCACTTTTACTATACTTCTATCTTGCCACTTTTTTGATATCTTTCTTGGTGGTGAAGTTATAAGCGATTGATTTTCTGTCACTTTTGGTTATGTACCTTTAAGAGTGAGCGCACCATACCTTCTGGATTTCAAAGTATTATTCTTGAGTCCAAATCATTCAATTCTGTCGACTAATGCAGAAAACTGTTACAAAATCCGAAACAAAACCCCAAAACACAAATTGCACCACTCTCTAGGTAGAGGCCAAGTGATAGACTCGCCTCAAAAGGAAGGCGTATATACGTATGCCCCGTTTTGTTCGGTCTGGCGTTATTTAAGAAACACTTCGTCAAAGAAACATACACCAGTCTTCCACATATATACATGTATGCATGAAGCAGCGCATAATTTACCCGTTATAGGCAAGTTCTTGCAATTGCAGAGGGCGACTTGGGCCGGCCCACGGGACGATGAGCCGGCCGATTGCCAAATCTTATCCCCCCATGTGTATACGCCCAAAACGGCTCACAGAAAGGTGACCTGTAAAGGCATCAGTAAAGTCGTTGGTAAGTTATTTTTAATATGAAAACTTCGTCTGTATAGTCGTCCAATTTCCCTTAAAACGACTTTCCCTCCGCCAAATTATTGAAATTACCAAGCAAAATATAATTTATTCCTGACGACCTTCCTGAATATTTTAATATTTTCTAGATACACATTTCCATGCACTCTAGAGCATGTTCAAGGTACCCACCGACAAAAGTGTTTTTCAGGACTTACGCTAGCGCTATCCATGTGAGTAGCAATTAAAACCAACTGACTATATGGAGCGTGAGTTACGTCATAAAAAGCAGCTATCTTAGGGCCCGTTTGGGGCGGACGGATCAGAAAACACCGTTTCGCAAAACCTCCGTTGCCATCTGGGAAATGGTGAATTGTGATAACGTTGTTAAATTGTGGTTTACTGTGTGGCTACAGGCCGGGAACGGTTTCATTATTCGCTCCCATCAATTCCTTCAACATACCTACTTGCTACATTTATCTAGAAGGAAAAAACATTTACATAGCCCCCAGCCTAGGGTTTGTATTGCTCAAAATAGGCGATAAAAATCTTCTGATAGGGGACATCTTGTGGGGAACGATGGTTGCAATACACAGAAAAAGTAGGTCAGACTTACTTTTTTGGAAAATGTCATTTTCAAGGGTATAACGTTGTTATCTACATGTCAAAGCTGGAACGCCAAACAGAATTAAAAAACCCATAACGGCGTTATGGTTGTAACACAGTTTTCAACCCCCCAAACTCCGTTTCAGAGCGCTCCCAAACGGGCCCTTAAACAACTCCTGCCCACAAGCCGCTTGGCGTTTCTTAGTATCGAGTGATCGATCATGAACGAATCATCTCATGTGATCGAGTAGTCGAGTGATCGTCTATGATTGGCGGCGCACGCCAGAGGGACAAATGTAAAATAGTATCGGTTTTCTGGACAGTACGATATACACCCTCTTAACAGAGAAGCTTTCTTTAACCATACTTGATCCTGTGATACCCAGAAGCATAGCCTATTAGAACGGCATTATATTACCATTGATCATCTCACACCGTTAAGCTGGGCGAGGTTTCCATACGTATAAGTACTTCATAACGTACATGTATGGAATTAAGAGAACAAGCTCAAGTGCTGTTTCTGAGGCGTTTCCCGTCACGCAGCGGCCGGTAACACTTGCTGGGCGCGAATGTGAGACGTTCTTACTCTTCTCATTACTTAGTGGTGTATGGATCCATGGAGTTATCGTTGTGCAGTGTTCTTGCGATAAAGGGATACAAGTAGGTATAGCTGTCGTGCATTCGTACGTATTTGAGTAGGTCAGGGATAACGTAGCTAGGACGTACATTCGAATTCTGGCTGTGGAGTTGCTGGACTTTAGGATCATGCATTGATGACCTACGCGTTGATGATCCAAGACCGCTTAGTAAGGGAGTGCATGAAAATCCGCTCTTGGAGAGCTTTAAGGATACAGAGGTATCAAATGAGGTAGTTTACGGATCTAGATCGAGTGGAGTTCCTCTTTTCTTGATTGTAAGGGGTTTAGAGGATTTACATACGTTTTCTCATCCATACTCTGGTCCAACCCTTTATGTAATAAACCATCGGGCATATCTGGACTCTTTCCTAACCCCTTAGAAAGCTTAATTCTGGGCGCTCTACCCGCTAAATCTTTTGCTCTCGTATACCTGACAATGGAAACACACATTCCATCTAAACATCAACTGATGAAGGTCACCTTGTTAGGAATAGAAACCACCAATGATTTCACCGGGCATAGCTCTGTGGGTATTGTTATCGAATAAAGAATTTCGCGTTGACTCTACATACTCCAAGAAGCACTAGATCACCGAACCATCGATAACTAGGCTCCGAAGGATCGATATATTTTCAACCACTTCTGACTCCGCTCGAGCTCTCTATGTCATCTCCACCAATACATGCTCCATCATACTTGTTCTTCCATCATATTTGTTCTTCCATCATATTTGTTCTTCCATCATATTTGTTCTTCCATCATATTTGTTCTTTGGCACGTCACCCCGAGGCCTCTGGCTCCGTAAAAAAATCTTCTAAATGATAGAAACTTTAGGAAATAAACATCATGTGAGGCTAGCTCGTGTAACCCGCCAGCCGTAGCTCTGACCCGGACCTTAGACGCTGCGGCAGGCTTGGTACTGAAGCGAAGATTCCAGTGGTAAATTCTATAACACTTGAAGAATAGAAGAGTTATTATGTAAGGTACGTCAATGAGGTTTACTAAACAAGTCTACTTCGATTTCAGTCTTCTTATTACTACTTGATATTTGAAGACCTAGTACTAATAGAAAAAGCTAGAAGGAAACAGATTAGAAAAATTACATATATATTGACCTTTTCTTTCTTCTGCAGTAAATATGAGAAAGAAGCAACCCTTAGAAACGAGTGAGTCGTCATTTCACAATTGGTTGAGTCTACTCACCACTCGAACAGGCAACAAAGATGGGGGATGAATCGATGATCAAGTTGCTGTTTGATGGCAGAGCTGATCCCAAGTTTGTGAGCAAAGACTACTGGACTTTCCCTGTTTTGGGCTATTGATGGTGCCGGTGATCACCTCCCCTTGCAGTGGCGAGGCATTTGATTAAAGACCCGAATAAGCGCCATACCGGGTGGACTCACTACAACGGGCGGTAAAAATAGAGTTTGGATCGATGGTGCAGATGCTCATTGCATTGATAGAGAGTACATTAGAGTAGCATGCACTGCTGCTGGTACGTAGCCGTAACTTACTCGAATCTAGACATTACAAAGCTACTAATTGAGAATAGAACAGATCCAAATAAACGCTGCAAAAATATATATATGGACGCCTCTACAGGGTATATTTGATCGGAAGTAATGGTATAAATGCTAATTGAGAGGGGAGCTAGCGAGCCTAGACCTTGAAGGTTCGAGCGACCGGACATCGTTGTCGAGGACGGTCAGTTCCGGCTATGTTTCTATATCGAAGCTATTAATTGAAATAGGAGCCAATAAAGATCTACACAATATAAACAAATGGGCACCGCCACATGTATAGTATGGAGCTCGAAAAGGACTGGAGGCAATGGTTAGTTATAATATGTTCCTCAAGAGGGGGGCCGATCTAGACTACGAAAGCTGAACGCATTAATCATTTCCAACTTACGTCCTTCAGACCTAAGCGCTTATACATTCGTCATGCCTAAAGAGAAGCTTCAGCATGAGATATATATGTCGTGTCTAGCTGGAGAAACACAACCCCGAGTCGACAGCCGCCACACAATCTCACGCAAAAAGCCTACTTGAGTCTCTGACGGTTAGCTATTTCATCTTGCTGTTTCCATACACGCCTAGAGGAATTATATTTCAGAGATAGAGGGATTTGGTTTATAACGTCGAGGATGACGTGGGGACATATGGGAAGCCCATTTCATTAAAGCATTGTACCTACATTTTTTATCTGCTGGCAGCGTAAGATGCATATGTGGAACATCAAGGACATCCCTTCGGAGCTGTTGCGTGCCCAGCCTTGTTCTGATTGGTAGAATCAGGGATTTATGTATGTAGAGTAGAGTAAATCTCTCAAACATACAGCACTCGGAGGCCTGGACCTAGTCGCCAAGTACTTTCCATGGTGATTATATATTACTCATGATTTGCCCCACATATCCAAATCTCCAGGCCCACTTATCGAATCCGGAACTCAGAGACTCTGAAACCTGAGATACTTCAAGCCACAGCTTGACTCCGGTGTGCCCCTGTAGTGATACGTCCTATGTATCTCAAAAGTTTTGACCAATGTTGTAAAGCAGGGGTGCGGCGGGGAAAACATATCAAAACCATATTAGTTAAAGATGGCTGGAGGTAACCCCTAACCCTGCTCACGCGATAGACCAACAACTACTAACACGACATCTTATATTCAGTCCTCTAAAGGATGTGATTTGGCCGGGCTGAGATCCAACTGCCTACATGCATATGCGTACTTTCTTGATAGAGATAGATACATAGTCAGTTGTGGCTAGGGATTGCTTACATCTTCGACAATGTCGGTCGCATAGTTTAAATCTCGATTATATACCTAGGCCTATTATCTGCTACAGTAACAAAATTAGCTACTACAGCTTTAGATACTCGATCCATAATTGCACGTACGTGTGAAGAAACTAAAATAAGCATACCGCCATACATGCGATCTGCACCACACAGAAACTCCGAAGTATGGAACAGAAAAGAACATTCCGATAGCGATACAGCGATGGGGAAAATTATTGTAGAAACAGGGGGTCTAAAAACAGGGTTTAGGTGGCTGCCCCGGCCAATAGGACTCTTACCATACTTCTACAATAATTTTCCCCATCGCTGTATATCAAGGAGCCGGAGCCGGGTCAATGAGTACGGCCTTGCATAGATGCTGTCATCGCGATGATCTCTGCGTGTTGTGTACGCGTCTCCCGGTCACGTGTTCCTTACTGTGTTGATTTTGGATTGGTTGTTTTCCGAGTGATATTCCCTGATGCCGAGACAGCTGTAGGCAATACAAATTTCTTCCTGATAAATACATGTAAGTAGGAATATAGAATATTATAAATCCTCATCTACATGCAATTTCTCGATTGAGGTAAACGGGCCCTCTCATAGGGTGAGCAAACGCCTATGTACAATATGTAGTCAAGCTAGGTGGGGGCGAGATATATATTGCGGCCGGCCAGGTACTAGCTACGCGCGGAAGATCGAAATTAAACTTCTCTATTGCGTAAAAAAGTTAAGCGAGGCTGGCTACGAACGTACTCTACATGTACGTACAAGGCCTACAATTTTGAAGGTTCTCTAGGTTCCTTTCGGTTCTGACGTCGGCCTAGGTATCCTTGTTAGTTCGCCGGTGGTATCGGCGTCGAGCGACGGTGAGCAACTCTATACATGTACATACCTACTACATACCTCCACTAATTTGGTCTACGAGCCAAGACGTATAGGTGTATATATACATATATTTACTATACTCTGTGAAAGTCTTGGGTAGCTATAGAGTTCTCAGCCTGGCGGCGTGAATACATATATATATCGACGCGGATACTTATGGTTAGCCTGTCTTCTGTTCATGGATCGGATCGCTAGTTCCGGTACAGTTTGCTGGAGCCTTTTCCTCTAGTACTTAATAATTGTTGACACTCACTTCTGGCGCCTCGTCTAGTACACTGACTTAACCTCTGGCGCTTAAGATTCGGCATTTAATTGAATTATCATCGCAAGGTTCTGGGTTAGCATTGACACGTACCCTGTATTATTTCATGTCTGTTGCGAGTTGTACTGTTGATAACTTAATTAATCCTAAAGTCGAGGTCATGATTGCGATCAGCTTTCAAGTGCTAGGTAGAGGTCTGCTGAACGAATTCTTTGACACTCCTGGGCATTAACAAAAGCACAATTGTACAAATGAGCCAGACTATAAAGTGCTCTACTCACTTAATTCAATTCTGACTTAAATACGAGAAAGAAAGGCGACTTAATTCACATGTAACCGCAGCGTTCGCATATTCCTACACTTCTTGTGGCACCTTTCTTTCGGGCTCTGATCATGATATACGAGCATGAGCTGAGGTTAGTGTTACAATGTGACTGTAAGATACATGTATGTATCTCTCACTATATTATATTGTTCATATGAGATAACCTCCAGTTGCTGATCAGGGCATTTCAGATTGATATCGGGGCGCTTATTGAATGCCTGCATTTATGATTTTCTATCTGAACTTAAAATATCCACTGCATATCTACAAAATACCATTGCAGATTAATGGTGACAAGCCGGGGTTCAGTCATCCTGAAACAGGTGGCTTTGAGGCTGAGCTCGAGCAGAATGGTATATCACATTAGCCCCATTCGAAATCCTTGGCAAGGCAGCGCAGCATAGCCTGATTATTTGTCCCGAGATTAATTCAGAGTAACGTTTAACGCAGTCCATGCGACCGACATAAGAGCAACCGTATGTGCTTAGGTGGTAGATCGCCGGATTCGGCTCTTGTTGCGAGATTGATACTTGCAAACTTAATGGAAACGGATCCGATTACATGCACCTAGGCTACTTGGTCTCTGAGCCAGTTTAAAAGAAACCACACGTATGTGTGGATTAGCTCTAACAGTCATGATGATATCTGTGGAATGTAAAAAGCCTCGATCACTGCCAGGTCTGTGTGCCCCTGTCCTAGGGAATAAAGATTATTGGCTCATACCCATGCTCCCACATCCCTCCCCACATAATTATCCGTCACCCGTGGGCGCAACTACATATGCGGCGTGATTCTTATCCAAGTGGTGTCTGGCATGGCAATATCTACTTAGTGTATCATGTCAGCCCTATCTGCGGCTCATGAGAACATCATCTTAG